CCAAAAATACACTGGTCTGCATTGAGTGCTAATGGTAGTGAGCATAGTTGAAATCGCTCAGATATTGGTGGTGATGGGGGCATACCGGATATCGATTTTCAACAACGGAAATCGGTAGTCGCAAAACATTTTGGAATGCCAACAAAAAGTTACAACGACAGACCCGAAAACTAGACTATTGACCACTCGAAATTGGGTAACTGAACACGTCGTTTCCGGTATGAAAGGCTTCTAATTAAATTTTTGTTTGAAAGGAAAACATTTTAATTTGAAAGTACCAAGCCTGTTTTGATTTAATAAAATGAGAATTAATTAAACTCATGTGCTAGGTCAAGCTTAGTGTTTGTTTAAATGCTTCCTGAAGCCTACAAAACTGTTGGAAATTCTGAGTCAAAATTTGCATCTTTTGAAATCTCCTCAGTCTCTCGTTGCAATATTTGTCATTCTCATGTATCTCGGATGATCAAGTCACACTTGAATTGTCAGGGGATTTGACTGTTTGAATATTAATTAAATGTGTAATTTAAAACTAGATATAGGTTACTTTCAGTATTATTACGAATTACTTAAACTATGTGCCTGTTCGACTGAAAACATTCGGTCAGTTTCTTGCATCGTTTTCATGAGCATAACGCTTAGGTTTAAACTTGATTGCTGATGTGGCCAAATGTGTGCAAAATAACCGACTCAAGCAGTTTCTTTATGGGGTAATTAGAAAAGTTAATTTCAACAAGGCGCCAAATTAGCAACAAAAGCTTGTCGCTTCGTTTATTCTGCTGCGGAATCTACCCTAGTCGCTGGACCATTTTTTTGGTTAAATTGAACCTTTCTGTCTTTTTTTACAACCTTACTGTTCGTTAATACACCCTTCGGAAATTGGTATCCGGAATGCTCAATTAGGACTGCAACTCAAACTATTGTCACTTTATGCACACGCTCATTGGTGCTCATTCGATAGCCAATCATCAGGTGCTGCCTTGACAACCAATCACCGCAGGCCACGCCGCCTAATTTATTACCCCACTTAAACGCTACTAATGCATGATACATTAACTACCCCATATTGGCGGCTGGTTGGAATTGGTTCACAATTTTTTTTTAAATTTCTGTTCTTAATGGAAATCAGTTTTGTGCGATGTAACTTCCATTTATTAATGGTTTCGAAATCATGACATAAGAGTATTTGAACGTATTTCTTTTCGCCAAAAAATTGGCTCAAAGTGATGCGATTCACAAATAATTGGTTTAAACAAGCCCGATTTTTAAATCAACAGTCATTGAAGACATATTAGAACAGTGTCAGCCAGTTTAGTTACATTGCTTGTCGTTGCAGACTCAAGTCGGTTTCCATGGTGTTCTTTTTTTGTGTCTTTCCCCGGAAAAAATGCAAACAGCAAGCATGCTAGCAATCAAGTTTGCGAAATTTTCGCGAATAAATGTCACCAGCTTGAAGACAGTTTCCGCAGTTTGCGTGCATTTTGGCCCCCTAACCAATAAAATTGCCTTGTTTACGCAACTGGCGCCTAATCACACAAGTGAGTGAAATGACTAGCTAGGCGTTATGAGCCCGTAACTAGTTCTGGCCCTAATTTATATCAGAAAATAGCCTCCTTTCAATTGCACAACGCTCATTTTGACGCAGTTACAGATGAATGCAAACCATGAACGTAAAAATGGAATGAAACTTAACATTAACAAAAATTCAGTCGTAAACATTGTTTAGATTGCGGAAGCAAATCACCAATTTGTGATTGGCATTTAAGTGGGACTTAAATGCATCTTAACAGAACTCGTGCAAAAAAAAAATTATAGTTTCTGTATAATAGAGCAGTTGGAATTATCTGAGAGTACTTGCCTGAAGAATTTAACGGCAAACGGAAACACAGGCGATTAAGATTGAGTACGTTTGTAAATTGTTCCGGTCCACAAATCACGCCGTTAATAGTGCACCTATGAAGAATGGTAAAAAAACTACCATGAAAAATGGTAATTTTTTTGGTTTAACACCCGCCTATGTCTTTGGCCTAGTTGCAAAATCCTTAAATGCTGATTCAGCGGCCCACACAACCAACGCACACTGGGAACATTTCCAATAAGTTAATTAAATCGAAGCCTACCAGTCTGAGTTGAACTGGTATGGCATTAATCAAATCAATAGTTACCTGGGTTTAGTGTGATGCAACTAAAATCGACAATTTGATTGGTTAGATTTGCTGTAAGATTAATTTCAATTTTGGTGAGGTGTAACAAGGTTTGGTACCTAATTAATTTGACATATCGTATTCAGAATCGACAGTTATTTAATCTGGTGGCATTTGATTGGGTTAATGTTAACTTGGTTTGATTTCATGTGGTACTACTTGGATCAATAATTGATTAAGTAGGTTTGATTTAAATTGGTGTCCTTACATGGCGTGTTTGTCCTTGGTGTGTCCTATTTGGGCTAATAAAAAGTTCTCATTGATTTTTAACTGTTGTTAATTGGACTGATTCGGTCCGCATTGATTGATATTCACCTTGAATCAATTGGTGTGTCTGTCTTCGATCTGTCTTTTTCGATCGATATTTAAGACTGCACCGATGAAGAATGGTGAAAAAAAAACTATCGTGAATAAAAATGAGTTTTTGTGTAACATCTATCTTGGTTACTCACTCATTTTGAAACTTCATTAACTGCTGATTCAACGGTCTACACAACCAGCGCACACTGAGACTAACAGTGATCTTGAATCAGCTTCTCAAGGTCAACGCTAAATGAATCACTGTCCACGCTCTTGTTAAAAGGCTAGAAGTAGAATTTGTAATTTGCTGTCCTAAACACAGCATGGGGTTTTGGTTTGGTGTGCAAAAAGTGGCACAAGAAACAAAATCAGCTCTTGCCATGAAAGTGATGCATTTTGCAAATCGATATCTTTCATTATCGATTTGCGTCTGCATACACAGGTTTTTGAAAATTATTCGACCATTTACATGACGGTACCAATTAAATATAGTTTAAACTTTTGTTCTTCTTAATCCAACACCACCAACCTCATCAGAATTCCAAAATGAATCTTCCATTTTTTTAAAAATTTGATTGGTGGAGTCGAAAAAAGGACGATTTTTGCTTAAGTATGATGGAAGAAAGATACCTACAGCCTCACCGATTGAAATGAGATAAGTTAAGGTGGTATAAAGTGACACTTATCTACGCCAAGATTTCGGCGATGTTATGGCCTTGCTGTTAAAAGGACCACTAATTAAATTCACGTTTTTATCCCCCACAAAACCTGTTTGATGATGGATTTGAATCAAATCACAGCCGGTGAGTTATCCAGCCAATGAGAGTTTTAAGCAAGAGAACTTATCGATTGACTCAATTGATTAATTTTAGTGCCCTTTTAGACTCACACAACAAACTTCATGGACGTTATACAGAAATTTTTACTAGAAAATAAATCAAATGAAATTTGTCAGGTTATTTAAAAGTGGCGTGGAACACTGTCGGTATAACTTTCTTCTCGTGCGTCGTACGATTTTATTATCAGCTAACGTAGGCACGCTGTGGGCACCATTGTTTATTCAGTGTTTTGAAAATAAATTTGACAATAGGAAATAACCAATCAGAACACGAGCAAAAGGCGCTGCCGTTTGATTTTGTGTTGCAGATAAACACGCTGGTTAGTGCCATTAATTGTCAAATTAATGGCATAACATATCGTTTTCTTCAAACAAAATTTTATGAGTTGTAAAACAACAACAAATACTTGTCCTCAGGTGAAAAAGCAGTCTAGTAACGTAGGTTGACATTTTGATTGACCAACTCCAAGATGATAAAGCATGACTACTGAAGGAGAGCTGGGATTTAAGTAGTATAGGACCAACCTTCTGAGCATGTCGGGGAGATGATGCGAGATGGTTAGCAGAGTTGCAATGCTTTGTTTGCTGAGTTCCTTGGCGAACTGTGGCACTCGCATTGTTCCGGTTCGAACCCCGGTGAGTGCATCGTAGAGGTAGCTGCCACTTGGCAACTCGAAAATTGCCGATCCACTACAATGTTAGGGCAGCATTTGAAATAAAAATGAGTCAGGTTTTAAAGTCGTGTGAAGGTCACATCAATGGCAGCTGAAATTTGATTGGCTCGTGCAAAGAAGCCCAACGGAGACCTCGAGAAGGGCATTTTGATTACTAATTTAAATTGCCTAAATCACCACTTTTGTAATTGTGGAGCATAAAATAAGTTTTTTTTTAAATTCTAAATTTGTCTCAGGTGTATTAAATTTGTTTCGCAGGAAATATTATAACTCATTTTGTTTTAATTTTGTGTGCCAAAAGAAGCCCGCGTTTATTCAACTCATAATATTGTCAAAACAAACTATGATTAATTTGGCTTCACTCTTCTCCTTCTCATACTCTCCTCTTTCTGCTCGACTAACTTCGCTCATTTGAAATTAGAAAAAAATATTTAATCTGAAAAAGTAGATAGTTAAGTAAGGAGCCAATTCTGAGGCAGTTTAATTAAAAATGACGAAAACAAAGTGTCTAAGTCGACTATTTTTTTCCAAAAATTGAAATGTCTTGACTATTAAGACATCAACACAGAGCCACGTCAAGTGTTGGCAACAGTGAAGATCTGTGGTCTCTGGTTAACTTCTCTAGCTCCTTCGAATCGGCCTCACTCGTTTGTTTTACTAGGCTGGCGAATTTAAATTCCTGTGGATAATTAGAAAGGAATGTACTTTTTAAGAAGTGGTTTCGTCAACACTCCTTCAAATGTCCTGTTAATTAAAACAAATTGGTGATTTTTGTACGCCGCAATGTTCAAAAGTTTCAATTTTGGCCGGTTTTTGTTGAGTTACTTGAAACGACTAACCACAAAGTCAGCAGCCGGACACTTTGTCATGCGTGAATTTCCTGAAACGGACAAGAACAGGCCACGAGGACCGCTCGATTAGGGCTGAACCAAGTACTACATCGAAGCCTTTCTTTACCAACGAGGGGTTCACTCCAGGGAGGCATGCGAAAATGAACCAGGTTTGTAAAGCTCTTTTATCAGAGGCCACGGTCTTTGTTTAACTCGATGCAATGTTGTTTTACTGGGTTGGCATGCCCACTGGGCGCCAATTTAGGTCCGAGCGGTGCTCTGAGCGGACACGCGGTAGTACTCTTTTGCGTATTATTTAAGATGGTGAAATCAAGGCGACAAAATACACGTTTTCCAGCATTTTAGAGCAATACTTCGATTCCCACACACACACAGCCGCCTGTCCATAACTCTGGCTTTGTCATTGTTTGGACTCGTTCTCACCAAGTTTGTTGGAAATGAAACGCACGGGTATAATTTCGCAAACATCACCTTATTTGGATTGCTGCAATTCAACTTGCTGGCAGAGCTTCGAGACAAATATGGATTTTGCGTCAGATTTAAATCCCCTGGTTACATCACGCGTACTGCCCTGAATTTTGAACTAGTTTCCTTTGGAGATTTAAAGCGAAGAGCGTGTGGCCACTTACCGAAAGGGGTTGGCGTTGCAGATGGTCACATTGACGATGTCCGGATCCACTAGGGAGAGGTGTGTCTGTGTGCTGGTGGTGGCGGTGATGGGTGTCCGCTTGAGCAGGTAGACAGATCGACGTTTGTGCCATCTGCTGCCCCACGCACAGATCTGGTAGATGAAGCAAATAACCACCAGCGCCACCGCAAGGAACAAGCCAACTCGTCTGATGGTGGACAAAAAGAGCCATACTTAATCTATTATCGATTTTGTGTCTGGAGATCACCTGCCTGATTGGTATTCGCGCCAGTGTTTTGTTTTACTCGTCTAGTACGCTTAACGTAATTGGCTGTTTCTGAATTAAGGCCTAATTTTGGCTGCAGGGTTCAGATTCACTGCCATTTTTGCAATCTTTTAGCAATTCTTGCGTTCGACACATACTGGTTTAGTACAAACGTCCATGGCAGGTTCGAAGCTAATTAAATTGCAACATATTTCCACGAAAAATTGCATTTTTGCGTATCCGTAACACGTACGTTGCAGGATGCAGAATGCCTTCTTTGTGCAAACTGCGTGGTTTTTTGCAAAAAAGTCATACAGGAGGTCGTAAAACACTCGTAAAATATTATTTCCCTGCAACCTCCCCACCAGACACACAACGATAATTTCATTGGACGCGGTAATTCAGACTCTGCCGCAGATTCTGCCCTTTCACCTCATTCACTAAATACAAGCCGTTTTACCTCACGCTGAGGATAAACTAGGCGAGAACTGGATGTTCTATCAAAACGTGTGGACGAACCCGCTTGTGTAGCTTATCGGCGTGCATCCAAGTTGTTTTAAAAAATAAATTGTAGCTGAATTACCAACAATCAGTCTCTAAGTTGTCTTCTGTACTGTCGCAAGAAATTTGGCAAGAATTGAAGTCTAACGGAAGAATAAAGTCGCCATTTTGACACGGATTTGAGAGCAAGCGCACAATCCTGTTCGCCGTCTTGAATAGTTTAGTTGCACTTCGAATTCCCACCTACACAGCTTCCTAGTTTGAGGCAATTTAAACAAACTGCTTGCACAAGGTCATGCTGGCTCAATACACCCCCAGATAAGCATAAGTTGTTGTCAAAGCAAGGAAGATTTTTCCTGTTCTAAGACAATTTCCTGTTTCGATTCCTCCTGTGAGTCGGAATTCTGGCTGGAACAGAATGGCGGATGCTGGCGGCATGCGATTCTATCAAACGTTCTTTTTTTTACAAAAATATGCCAAAACCACCATTTTCTACATGTACAATCCAAAAGAATTCACTGTGATGCTCTGAATGGTTGCGTTTTGAGAAATTTTCAAGGCACAAGACCTGACGAGTTAACTTTTCAAGCAAATTCAAGTACAAATAAACGCACATGTGTGTGTTTGTTCGTTTCGCATGACTGCCAAAAGCACTCCTGTGCGTTGTTCGTACTAACAGAGAAATGAGCGCATTTTTCAAATTAATTTTTAATATACATCTCGTTGTTTTATCAAATGGAGTCACCCGGCAGTAATAACAATGGCAAGTTACTCCACCTTTTGTTCAAACCTGGCGCTTTAGGGTGTCATTAAAACAAAATTTATCTGCAAATTAATGCCACACAATTTTTTAAAAAAAAACAGCATAGATTTCAGAATAAGGGGGTAGGTTAGTGCGACAAAAGTTCACGATTAGACAACTAGGAGTTCATGTTAATGGACTTCTATCTACACGTACCATCAAATAGGCATGTGTTGATTTCCAGCAGGGCTGTTTAAGGACTTTTGCGATTGGTAGATAAGGTCAGTGTAAGAAACGAAAACATTCTTTTTGGTTTTTTGTGAAAAAGGTTATTTTGAGTGAGTTCCGTCTTTGTGTGGCCCAGACAGTCTTCGTCACTCTGGGGTAACCGTGAAACGAGTTGGATTGGACAATTTTGTCCAGTATTTGCCGTTTTGCTCATCGTGTCTCAAAATCGAGAAGTTTACATAGTTGAGTTGAGGTTTCGGCTCAGCCAAAAACTCCTACAAACGCGGAAGACATCGAAATTGGGGTGAAAAAAACGTGTCTTGCCCTTGGACCACCCTCATTCGACAAAACGGCGACGCAAAAGTCTCCCGAAGAAATGTAGGGTGTCTTGTCAACAGATCTACTGGCAGATGATTATTCCGCGATCGATATTTTCAACCAATCAGCCCTGAACCCCTAGGCATGGCCGGGTTAATTTTATTGATCAGAAATTCAATTTCAGATGACGTCCATTTTAAGCGAATCCGAGAAAGCCTGGCCGTTTGCTTGTTTGATTGCCACTTACACGATTGGTTTAAACTCCATTTAAACAAAAAACAGTAGTTTAGGCGTACAAATTAAACCCGTCTGCGCACATCCCACCGTTGTGGTTCTGAACTGACTTGCAAGACAGAACCCCCTGGCCCTGTTTACTGTTTTCGGAATTGGTATCTAGATTGTCTGAGACAATAAATCATAATTGCCGTGACAACCAAGTACTGTATGCGACGTTAGTCAGGTGGATATTTGCTTTCGGAACGAATAACTTAAAATTGTGGTGATGATGTGAGAGCGGATGCGTCTGCAACCCTAAGTAGGCACTTTGTCGCTTTTAAGGCGCTTCCCGAACACAAGATTTGCTAAATGCAGAAGTTGTACCTCCTCCTGTTTAACTGGTTAGCAAAACATTGAATGCAACTAGACTGTAGGACTTACTTTTTTTCATGTACAATTGTGTTGACTGAAATAACACAATCGTTAAATTAATGAGCTGAAAAGACAACTCGAAATGAGGTCCTGGTATCACGTCTACCAAAGGTAGTCAGCAATCGGGAGTAGAGCTTGGGTCTTTGTTTAAATCGGTACACAACCAACGCTCACATTAGCGCGTTTATTGATTTCAGCCCAAAATCGATCACCTTTAAGGCACACGCAAAATTATGCGAATTTGGCGATGCTAGAACACAAGATTTTTGTTTCAATGCAACCAATTTTCACCAGCAAACTGCAACCGTGGCCTTATCTCTCCATCAATCAAGATGTTGAAAAAGGCGCACGTGAGTGACATCCATAGGAATCGTGTCGCTTTTGCATTTGTATTTACTGCTACACCTCAATTTCTACACAATGTAATGCATTGTCGATGAGTCCGGGTTTTCACATCAAAACTGACTGCGCAAGAATCCGAATTTCAGCGAGTAAATTGCAAAGATCCACGTTGTACGATCACTACACCATTGATTTAATTTGTTCAACAAGTTTGCCATTGTGGAAACTCATCTTTACCGCTCAAAAGGAACTAATTTAAACAAAATTGAGACACGCTTTCCTGTAACCTGATTGGGTTAAGTCATCAATACCCACTTGCAGGTCTTATTTCATCTGATGAGTAAAGATAAAACACATAAATCTTGCTTAACAGACCACGAAAGTGTTGATATGTTGAAATAAACGACGCCAATGCAAGCACACAGTCGCGAGACTACGATAAGTGAGGTACTTACGTCAGCCACGTTTTCCATGCCGCAAGCTTACGATGTTGAGTGGTCAAAATTTCCATCTGTGGGTGACTGGCAGACACGCAAAGTGGATTTTCGTTGAGGGGGATAGCCTGGGTGTGCGACCTTGAGGCTGGGGGTTTGGCGACCTCAATGAATCGTTGCGGAGGTGGACAGTCGAAGGAGGCGATGATATGGGTCGGCGCCGAGGCGTCTCGCAATTCGCTCGCATCGACAGTGCTGGATTTGAGGAGAACGGCAGGTGGTGGCGAAGGAAGCTGAGGCGAATGGTGGCGAGGGTGAGTCGGAGGAGGCAGCGATTTCCGCGCGACGTCGGCCACACAGTAGTGTCGTGGGCAGGCAGCAGCTCCGACGCATGCCTCGTTATTGAGCACCAACTCAGTGGATGCGTGAGTCGACTTACGACCTAGGGGTGTTGTCCTGGAGGGCAGAATACCAAAATCAATGTTGGTCTTCATGGAAGGTGGAGGAGGAGGAGGAGCATGTCTGGGTGGTTATGATAATGTGCGGCACGTTGCTGTAGGGAGAGCGCCTCACTGACGCAAGAGGGCAGCGTTTTGAGTAGTTGACAGCGTAAGCGACTGATTGGTCGCACCTTGACCAATTAGACGATGAGTGGCTTTCGGTAACAGACAGACTGGCCTAGAGGAATGCAGAGAGATGAGTATCGGAGGAACTTGAGAAACGACACAACGAGTCAAAATTGGCTTGTAGACATGTTAAGTCATTTATCGATTTCAGCACTTTTCGGGTGGCTGATTGGTCACGCAGATCCGTCTTGTCTTCCCGACTGAATTGAACAGACTTTGTGCTACAACAGCTGACGTTTTGGCATAGATAGAGTTTTCTTTAATCCGCATCATTTAAATTAACCAGTTTAATCACCAGCGATGGTTTAAATCACCACCAGCCTGGAGGATTTGATTGGTAGGATTCGACCAATAAGAATTGACATTTGAATTTGTTTTGGTAACAAGCCAATAGGAATCGAAGTTTTGGATTCGTTTAAATATATTTCCTGCCAGAACTAGATTTGGGTTCTATGCTACTACTAAACGCAGCTAATTTTGCGTTGACTTTCAAAAGTAGTCTTTTTTTGCCTTGACATTAGAAGTTTGTCCGGTTTAGCACTGATAAATGGGTCTTAAAGGCACAGTTTATTTGGTTGTTGTTAAGCACTTTCATGAATAAGTAATCAGTTGACTGCATTTCCTGCGTTTAAGCGCCCGGACTGCATGCGCACAACAACTTGAACCGTGAACAAATGTGTACGACAAAATTTCTAACCTGCCGGCACTTTTATGCGCGTCTCACTGCGTTTTGTAGAGAAATGGGCGGGTGGTGAATCGTGTTTATTCACACCCCTTAATCCGGTCGCTCCACCTCCTACACAGGGTTCCCCTTTTCACAGCATGTCGCCAGCCGAGCGGATCCTCAACTCCCCCCTCATTCACAAGGATTTTTATCTTGGATTATACGCACACCTAGGTCTCGATGTTAGCGCATGTATGATTCACACATCCGAGGTATAAAAAGACGCGCAAACCACACACACGACACAACGACACCAACGTGGTTGATCCCTGAAGTAAACGGTTGTGACAGCGTCCTCTCTGGTCTTCTTCTTCTTCTTCATCGCGAGTATCCGGAAGCGTAATCGGGCCAGAGTTAATTCCGTGGCCCCGGCGTGGTTCAAGACCACATGCTGGGGCCCACGACAGGCGCATTTGATGGAACTTTTGTCACTTTGCAAAACTTCCTTAAAATGGTTCTGTTTTCTGATGTTATGACAACCTGCCATGTTGCCTTGACATCATCCACGTGCGAGGTAATTAAGTACTCAGAGAAGACGCAATATAACTTTAGTGGGATTTAAAATCATGGTATTGTCTAAGAATGTACTGGCGAATTCCAATATACTGATAAGGGAGCTGTTGAGAGTCATATGTGAATTTGGAGAGGTATTTACCATGCCGACGTGGTATTTTTTGAGTCAATTCTAGCAAATTCATACTCAAGTGTACTTTTGTATGAAAATGTCAAGGCCGTGATTAGTGGATGAAGTGGAAATTTGGTCTGAACTCTGATTGTTCGTTGCACACGCCATTGCATTGCATAAACCTGAATTATTTAATGTCAACTCTGCCTCGGATCAGCCTCAGCTAACACTGCGTAGAGTTTTTGATCCGTTACGATCAACCGAAATCCCCTGTCCAAAAATTCCACCTCGCATTCTGCAAGATAGAAACCTAGCCAGGTAGCGGGTCTGCTGTGCGTGTCGCAAGAGAACTCGTAGACTGAGGTGGGAATGCGTTTATTTGTGTGTAGATATATTTGCATAATGTGGCATTCTTTTAGATAAATGACGATCTACACCAAGTGATAAGTCCAGCACACACACACACACATAAAATCGGGGCTGGTGATTTCACCAGACGAAAATGATGATGAGCCTGATCACGCAAATCGTCGCGGTGTTCGCGCATGTGCGGCGTACTCTCTGGCCTCTTCACGAAACTTCGTCCATCATGATAACGCACTCGGGGTGGCCGGCGCTCCACCCAGGGCGCGCCGGCCACCTCTCCTCTCTCCCCTCTGAGTAATACTCCATCACTTAATCAGCATCATCGTCATTTCTCCGGTCAACTCTTGACCTTCAGCTCGAATGACCTACTGCCAGTGTTCTCAAGAGTTTAATGGATTTCGTTGGTGGCTCCATCTAGCCCTAACGACCTACCGTCAAATTCTACGTCAACGTCCATGGTGGTTACTTCCAAAGGGACAATTTCGGTCTAAGGAGTCGTGGTGGTGAATCGAAAGGGGTGAACAGGTCACGAAAGTCATCAAATGCCCGCGGCTTAAGTCATCATGTCAGGTGTCGATTTTTGTGCATTGTCATCGGTTAGTTTACTCACGTGTCGAACTTGTACCTGACTTCGCTGTCATCGAAACGATAATTTGACTTGATGGAATTTTGAATGGGATGTGGAACTTGCAGCGCCTATTTTCTCCAAGGGCAGAGTTGACGTTGAAGAAGAGGACGATGACTTAGATGCAGAATGAAATGTTACGCCCACACCCTCACGCACGCGCGCATAAAACTGTGAGGAAAGGTAGCTGTGGTTGTGCAGAGTGGTTTGCCCTTAAACAAACTACTTCCAGGGGGCCTGCATCTCGTAACCGTCTCTTCAGAAACCAACAGGCGAGACTGCGAAAGCCAGATCGGGTGTGTGTGTGTGTGTGTGTGTGCAAACGCGACGTCCACGGTCGCGAACGGATTACTGCACATTGCAGTGGTTGCCGCCGACCTCCCTGATGCTTGCCTTCTCACAAGGCCTACAGGCTGCGTTTTTGTTCTTTTGGGTAGAAATGGGGGTGATGGTAGGCCGACGCACATCATGGTTTTCAGACGCAAATAGAAATAAAGTGGGAGAATCGTGAGGCCACATGTGTGCCGTTGGTGAACAAGACCAAACCCTCCCACCTTGCACTTTGAGTCCTTCCTGCCAGTTTTCGTTGACTTTGACCTCACCGTCGACAGCAGCAGCAGCATCAGAAGACACATCCAGGCACCCCGATTGCTGCTCAAACTAAGGCGCCCCATTATGAGACGTTTAGTAATTGCACAGCGGTTCTCAACTTTGGCATTGACGTCATGCGCTCTGTTTTCTTGCTCATTCTGCCCCTCCCACACACCCACAAAGGCGAATGGCTGGAATCAGGTTATCGTTGGGGTGTGCGGTTGTAACCGTTTTTCGGACAAGATGTTGTTTTGGCCAAATAAACCCATTGTTTGCGTATTTTCCGTTCCTGCCTACCACTATACCAAGTTTTTTTCTTCAAATTGTTATCAATTTTTGACAGAGTATTGTGGTTTGACTTGAAAGTAACACGTTTTATCGGCAACACAACATGGCGGAGTTTGTGGTTGAAAGTAACGTTTACCCAACTCCCAGTGAAGACAAAAAATGCTTTTTAAATGTAGCTAATCCTCGACGTTTCATTCAAGACACGGAAAACATTGTGTGTTCTTGGCAGCCGCTTCAGCAATGCACAGACAGCCTACTTTGCTTTGGTTGATTTTCGACGCACCAACGACGCCGCGGTTAGGCCTGTCTCCATTGGCCCCGACATGGCGGCGTTTGCAGAAGTCCTCCTTGTGACGCGCGCCATTTGCCCCCCGCGCACACCAGTCTGACCTGTTCTTTGTCCTTCTCTCCCTTCCCGCACTCTCGCCTTCCTCAAGGCACGCCTGTGAGTCCGTGGGCAACACCAACCCTCCTCGCAGCCATCCTTTCCCCCACTCTATCTCTCCCCAACATCTAGCCCTCTGAGTTTGCATGCGGTAGTATGGAATACATCCGGTTCTTCCAGCTATTCTTCTAACCATGATGGTGTGGCTATCTAAGAGGGACGGGCTAACAGTCATCTCCCTATTTAGGTCCCCGCTCGGTAGGCGCGTTACATCCTGATTCACCGCCACATGGAAGGGACAGGCCGGCAGGTCGGTTGGTCGTCGACCAGCATCGATCGCGTGTAGTGTGAAGCGGACCCCGTGTTAGCCAATGTCGACGGGCATTCACAACTGCGGGCTCACAGAATTTGCACAGAAAATGTGTACCACCAGGTTGTGTGTTGTTTTCTGGAGACGTGTTCACGCTTGTAAAGCACACGTTTATTCCCCCATAGCCGTGTGTTAATCCATCATCAGCCGATGACGTCGTAGTCCCAAAGCCCAGGCAAAGTCGCAATTACCCGCGTGCCCTGTAATTACTCGTGCCACCACCCTGTTCCACCCTTCCATAGAATTCTTTTCGTGTTCAAATTCGTGTGTTGGCATGGCTACGCAGCTTAATCTCACGAAACACCGAGATAGGCACTGGGAGGAATTTCGCAAGAATTTGGTGCGTCTGGTGACTTAGAGGTGGCGCCGTTGAAATGGGAGGTAGCCCACCTTACTTGGGGTCGTCTGTCTTGGGCGGCTCATTAGCTTCCACTGTTCTCGAGTCCGGAACGTGATCGTGTTTGAAGCTAGTGAACCGAGTTGATGAAGACTCGTCTATATCGAGACCTCTCACGCACCACATGCAAACCATCTCGCATGAGCTTGTAAATTCTAAATTGCTTAAATTAACCTTTCATGAATCATAAAAAAACTACACAAACTGTTAAACTGGCTTCTAAAACACGGCATTGTGCGAGGACGCCATTATTAGCTACAAATCCCCCGCGACCATAATACCGTCTGACCTCTCGTCGTGTCGTAAATCAGAAATCATTAAGGTCAGTAGTCTGTGGCGACAGTTGCTCGCGATTCGTCTGAGTGCCTCTTTGTCGTGGCTTTGAAGTGTGCGTTTTGTCTGACGATCGCTACTGGTGATTGTAGGGGCATGAGGAGGAGGAGGAGGAGGGGGAGGTGGTGGTGGCCGCGGCGGCGGCAAGGGTGGTGAGGAGGAGAATATTCCGGCGCCATATCCCAACCACAAAAACTTCCATCAAGCACACTGCCTAGTCAGTTTTAGCGGGGCTAGAGTTAACATTTGCCTACTGCATTTTTTGTGTCTTAGCACGAACCGACTAGGCAAAAATGCCACGAGAATTAGGCAGGAGTCGTGCGAGTGGATGAGTCGTACGTCGCCATTTAAGTGCGCTGGTGCGACGTCTTCCACCTCAAGGTCAATTTCGGCCCTGGTTGGTGCTGGCGCGGACTTCACAGGAAGACCTTGTTTCACGTGTGGCGGCGACCAGCAAGCCAGCACAGTTGGCATTCGTGAGCGAACTCAAATCAATCGATTTTTTCGTGAATGCACTGTCGTGGACAGACAGCCACCGCGCGCGTGAGTGCTGCGTGTGTGCTTGCCCGACTGCACCAATGACTCACCCTCTTTCTTATTGGCTCTCGCTAGCAGTCACCTGTAACTCACGCGTATCGATACGCGCACAAAAGTTAATTTACTCGATTTTACTCGACTGGACTTGACTGGCGTGGCGCGAATAAACGGTCGTGTTCTCTTTCGACTCTGTCTTCTCTCTCCTCGGGTTGTGACCGGCTGTTATATATTGGGTTTTGCGGTAGTGCTAATTTAGGCCCCTACACACGTAACAAACACAACGTGGAGGAGTCAATCCCTGGGTTCGTGTGCGCAGTAGGTCATAAAGAAGGCCACATCCGCCTACATTGGCCGCCTTCATGAATAAATGAGGCAAGGATAAATTCACTGCACATTACTGCGCGGATATTGTCCAGCCCATGTCCTCCGGTATGTTAGATGCATTCGGTAACAAAATCTGCTAGCTCTAGCGATTGGAGGTAATTTATGGTGTCTTGTTAGATGACCAAAAACCGTTGTCTTGTTCACTTTAAAAACCCACGTACATTGCTACCTCGAAAAGCCCACACATGTGTTTTGGGGAAAAAGGGACACACGTACGCACACAAAAGCCAGAGTTGTCTGGCAGCGTGTCAATGACTTCCTTGTTATTATGCCTTCAAACGGCGGCCCCACACGTTCCTCAGACGCTCTGAAGCAAGAGGGAGAAAGAGCACTGTGTGAGACTATAGAAAGCACGGGGAGGGTTGGATGTTAGTCTAAATACTCTGCTTCTCCGATTGCCAAATGACCCGTCACCCACACCGTCATTCACGCTGAGCACAGTGGCGTTGTGTCGTCAAGGTGACGGGCATCTGATGTGGGTCGGGGAGGCATAGCTGGTGATCGCGAAGCGATAACCAGTCGCAGTCAGCCACAGGAGCTGTTTACCTTCAGGTTTTGTTTTAATGAATAGGAAAGTTGGTCTTTGGTAGGCGAACAAGTCCTTGCACCATGGTAGTTCAGGCGTGGGGAAAAAGTCAATCGCTCTGAAACAAAAGGACAAAGAAGCTTGGCTGATTTAATATTGCAGACGGGGGTGGTGGTGGTGGTGACCAGACTGCTACGCCGTGACAAAAGACGTGGTTGCCATGGCGACGGGTTTGTCAAGAGGAAGACGATACCATCAATGCGTGCGTGCGTGCGTTTTACCCAGAGGTGTCAGTATGTAAGATGAGACAGGGGGTTGGGCACTCCCACCGTACACACACACACCACCCCCCTCCCTGGCGGTTCGATTAACAATGGGGTGAGTCATGCCTCCACACCAAGCAGGCTGCTGACTCGTCCTGCCGACAACTCTGGTGCATTCTGAAACCTCGTAGACCTACACAGTTAGGTGTCATCGCCGTGTTTGTAAACGCCAACGGTTTCGAAATACTCATAAAGCCCTTCGTTCTCATTGGCTGAAATGCTCAAATGAGAACCATCCTCAAGGCCATGTCAGCTGTCTGGGAGGCCGATTTTGGTTATAGAAGCACTGTTCCCAACGAAGTCCATCAAATGCGATGCCTTCATAAGCAGCCCAGCGCCACTCTCGACTTCCACGAAGGTCTGCTGTCAATCAGGGCGGGGTTTGGCCAAGTGTTCGAGGCCGGACGGTTTGTTGAGAGGTTGTAAATGTCAGTCTCCAATATCTCCCAATGATGGAACCGCTTTCGTAGTCATAACCGTCACAACTGGGATCATGCAAAGCGGATCTTCGCTGAAGACATGCACATCCACCGATCTCAAAGGCGTCAAGAGTCGTGTTCATTTAGGTCTTGAACGGAAAATCGATACAACACCAACTGTGAGTTGGAGTCATTGGTTCACTGGGTTGCTGCCGCTAAACGTTCCAATTGGATGGTTGTTTGCCCAATCACGTGTTTCAGCCTTTATTACAAATAGTGCTACACGTGAGTGGAGACAGTCGTTACTGCCAGAGTGGCATTACAAAGGCACGACGGCGCTGTCGCCTTGGCAACGTCGGTGCTACCCCTAGTCTCGTCCTGGCGATTTTACCTTCAACTTAAGCAACCGCGAATGCGACTGTGCACTTCATTGAAATGCTAGAAACTCGACGACGACCTACTGCTTGTCTTCACGCCAGTCTTATACCTCCTTGCTTACTGGAATCTCCACACTGTGTGTTGCTTTTTGCGTAGAAAAACTCGTTCGAATGGACGCGCGCGATCAGAAGTCCACATGAGACAGGCCTGGCGGTGTTAAGTAAAACCAGTAGCCCGCTAGGCAAGTTGACGTTCTGTATGTGCCGACGCATATCCGGTTGTCGAAATTTCAATTACTCTATTTTTGCCTCTAGTCTGCCTCTCCACCCTTGTGTCCTCATCCCATTGATTCGTTCACCTCACCATGAGAGGAAGTCAATTCTTCGGAAGCCTTCTATTCTCCGGACTAAGCCGAATCTCCTGATGCTGACGGTGTCCTTCGACTCCTATCATCTCCCGCTGACCATATACCGTTTTGCGACAAATCGAGTCATTCTTTTATTCGACATGGCCACATCTTTCGACTTTCATTGACATCAACTTCTGACGCTCTTCCAGCAGATATTTTCGACCGATTCCGTCCCCTGCTTCTCGACTGTCAACTAGATCGAAAGGCGTCAACGATCATACGATTCGGCATCATGCACGACTTCTCCAACGATCAATTTATCAGATATCCTAGTGGTAGAAAGGGTTGTATCGGCAACAAAAATTCATCTAGAACGACTTCCGAAAACGATCGACGATATCATGTGTTTCAGTTACCGTCAGAGTACGACAATCAGCCTTATTTCTACACTCAGAAATCTACGGCCTACCTTTCAGAATTCGCAATGGAAGAAAAGGTTAACTGAATTATTCTGCTTAGGGAGAGACGATTCTCCGTCCGACCCACATTGACAGCCACATCCTAATCACGCGAGACCTTCCCAGAACCCCAGGGGATGAAAAGGTTCGCCAAATTCTCTTGCTAAGGAGGAGAGCTGTTGTTAATCGTGTTGATTCACACCCCTTAATCCGGTCGCTCCATTTCAGATACAGGGTTCCCCTTTTCACAGCATGTCACCACCCGCGCTGATCCTCAACTCCCCCCTCATTCACACGGATATTTATCTTGGATTATCCTCGATGTTAGCGCATGGATGACACACATCTGAGGTATAAATACACACGCAAACCTCACACACGACACAACGACACCTAGGTGACTGAGCTCTGAAATAAACGGTTGTCCATGTCCTCTGTGGTCTTTTTCTTCATCGCGGGTATTGGGGAACCGTAATCGGGCCAGGGTTAATTCCGTGGTTCAGCTATAACATATTGGTTACTTTATATCACTTAGTAGCACTTATATTAGAGTCTTGAGATGTGGAAACGACGGCTAGTTTAAACTCTGTTTGCTAGTAACCGATGTCATGGACTAACACTGTACTTCACTGACTAAACGATTTAAGGATTAGCAAATAAGCGGACCACGAGCACACCTTGCAACTCAAGTGTGGACAAGGCAACAGCAGTTATCAAGGTCATCGAACTCAAGATAGACGACAGCATTACTACCATTGGGTTATCAGAGCATTGTACTGACGAAGATAAACTTGAGGGGACTGGTCTAATGCGTTCACCGCCTACGAGGAAAGGACGGTAACGCATCGTTTACATCCTCTAACACCATCGCTGTTAAGAGTCATGCTTAGTGCTAAATTTGACACGAACTGTCCAATCAGCGCACGTGGCAGCGTCAGATTTTAAAGACGCAAGCTGTGAGCGCGTCCTGATTGGCTGGTAAGTTGGCTAATTATTGTGCAATCACCAGTGGTGACGTTGCGTTTTCATTGGTCCACGGGGTTGGAGTAAATTATTGCAGGGTGTGTGTGGTATGGTTTCGGCAGCAATAAAATTGTGCCTACTTTACACAATTCAGTAGAGGTGATGTTTAGGAATTGCAAATCTGGAGTAGACGAGTAATCCCACATGAATTGGCAATTACCATGACGTGCACCAGGAGGTGTAGAATTGAATAATTTTCGTTTGTTTACATCCCTAACGGTGATAAATGAACATTAATACTGTTTCCGTAGCAACACAGACCATGGTTTCACGTGACCACCCAAGTACACCAATTTAGGTAACAACTTTAAGTAAACCACACTGTTGAATCTCGCGGGCATTGAAAAAATTCGCAAATTTTTTTAAAAAAAATCGCACAAACAACGGCGAATAACGGCAAACACCGCATTGGAAACTGCGCGCACACCTCGATACAGGACACAACAACCAGTCAACCGTTCACCTGGTGGACACATTAGGAGAAACAAATTTGTTAGCGACCATCGCAAATGAACAATAAAACGCTACTTGTGAAGCCTTCACGCGTGGACACCGCTGCGTGCCTAGGTAGACTCACATTCCCTCAGAACACGCTAGGCATGACTCGTGGCGTCGACGTCTGCGCACTGGTGCTCCTTTGCATGGTGCCAACACTCGCAGTGTGGTTCAACTACTCTAGCTACGACATTCACCGCATGCTGGACGGTCCTGTGATGCTGAAGGCACGCAGTTTCCACGAGTGTCTCAATGAGTGTTCAGCGAAGGGTGCTCCATTCAACGCTGGCTACCTGGACCTCTTGCAGGTGAGTCTTTGTGGTGTCAGTGTGAAGCCGTCTTTCCCATTGGTCAACTTTGAATCTGCTGCCATGGTGAAATGCCACGCGTTTGAACCAATAGCGTAACAACGGCGTCATGGTTGGAATGTTGTGCGAGTCGATGCTGTGTGGCCCCACTAATCTAGCTTCTATTCACAATGACACCATTTGCGATCAAACAAAGCAGTTTAACGCCAAGCAAACCACGTGATTTGCTTGAAAACCACTTTGAGATGGGTTGCTTGCAGATCACATGAAGCAGCCTGCACCCACGAAGCCTTCAACGTGGTTTTCTTTGCTTTCTAAAGCAACTCTGTTACTGTGGCGAAATTCCCGTGTCAAGAATCCCATTCCAGGGGACTACGGACTCTCAGAAAACGGCGTTCAAGTTTGAAAACGGTATGTTTGTGGATTGCTTTTGCTCAAACCAAGCCAGACATTTAATTATGCCGGATTCCTACATAGAAGTTTGCAGGACACATCAGTTATAGCGCCAGCATTTAGCGGCAACTTGAAGCCTACACTAACGAGGGCATTTTCGTTCTCGAATTTAGCAAGTATTTTGGTTCAAGTTAACATCGACCTTTCACGTTGTTACGTTTGCCAGTAACACAGAGAAAATCACTCAAATAACGGTGCTAGATCCCTTCTTGATGCTAGAACCGACCCGCCCAGGCTAATACGAAGAATATGACCAGATCTGGCGTAGAGAGCTTTATTCAGGTTAGCCACGTGCGAAGTGGGTTGTCAAAAGTGAAACTGATTCAAGTCAAGGTTGACCTTGACCTGATTAAATGTGCAAATAGTGCCAAAAACCAACGAGGAGCAATTTTGAGGTATCGTGGATCCCCAACACACGTTCTGTTCAGCTTTTCGGCAGAACGCAAAAGTCTCTCTTTAAAATCAACTGCTTGTTTGCACAAACGAGGGCAAATTCTTTTTTTTTAAAAAATGCAATCTAGGGTTTGATTGCATCTGTTCGGAACGGACACTGGAGAACCGAGGTGGTCTTGTCCAATGGTTCACCGCAGACAGTGCAGATACGTGTGAGGGGTTCTGCTTGGCAAGCCACGAGACGGCAAACGCAGCGATATTCCATCCATTCACGGTCTGTACTTGGCAGGCGTTGGTTTGTGCTTTGAGGGAACCACAGCAAAGGGGTTAATGTCATAAGCCACGTCTTGTGGTCACGATCACACCATTCTAACGCCTTCCGAAGCCACGAAATGCAAATACGCATAGTTGAGAGAGTTAGTTCAACGCCACGGATGGATATTCGACTCGCTTAGTGTGCGAGCAATTCAGAGCACTTAGGAGTGGATGATGGCACACTATGAGCCAGCGTATTTGACGATCACACTGGGGAGTGTCTTCAGATGAGAAGTGCAGTGTAGTGTAGTACAGAGCTGTTTTTGTTCTTTTGTCTGAATTCAGCGAGACTGCGAGTGCTACGTGAAGGTGCCGAAGCCGTTTTCGATCACGTTGAAGCCCGATCCGACTCCCACAACAGTGCTAAGAGCATACTGCATCCAATGTAAGCCCAAATCACATAACCTTGGAAACGTAGTTTGATATTATACTGCATTGTTTTGCGCATTTTAGTAGCAGAAATGTGCGGTAAGTTGAATCGTTCTGCCTTGGCTTCAGCCGTGTTCGTGTGTTTATGTGTTAGGGAGAATGCTTGGTCACAGATTAGGCGTAGTTGTTAGGCAGTAAGCCAAAACATGTAAGAAGAGGAAGGAAATACCCATTGTCTCCCCATTACACCCCTTCCATCCCCACACACGCACATAAACACCTCTTTGATTGGGTTTTCTCATGGGTTGAACACTTCAATTTTGATCATGTACACATCAACGTCACCTCTTTTACTTTTTTTTTTTTTTTGATTACGAAAAAATAAAAATTCGGGACACATAAGTGCGTTTGTTGTCACCGGCCTTGTCGGAAATTCGAGTGGTGATGCTGAGGGATTGAAATTGTTTAGTGAAAAATTGAACGTGATATAATCGTTTCACCTGTGTACTGAGGGAGGTGGGTGTGAAATTGCTTTCGTGTCACATGTTTATTATCATTAACGGTAACCTGTCATTGCTGGTGGGTAAAGTAAAGGAAAGTGCTGGGTGGAGATTTTCAAGATGTGAATTTTTTTCTGGAATCTGGCAAGTGACATTTCTAGGGCCAACAATTAAGGGACAAAATAACGCCACAGACGAGTACATGTAGCTGACACGCACGACATTGTCAAGGCGGCGTTTAAGGTGGCAAAGCAATTGATAACTCGAGCAGGCGGTTTGTTAAGAATTGCGCAGGTGCTCGTACGCACACGTGCAAGAAGCCTAGTGACCAGTCACATGTCAGAAACATACGTCAGGCGCCATGCATCTCAATCCACCACACTGACTGTACCGCTCGTCATATACTGCTTCTCATACGAGTCTGTTTCTGGTTGGCTACATGTCTTCCTCACAGGCCATTCGAAGGTCTAGTGACAAAGAATTTGCTGAGGCTGACGTTTTTTAACAAGCCTGCTCCCTTGTACGTTGCAAAAAATAGCAAATGAAATTATCGATATCACGCCCTTATGTTACAACAGATTTTTGTTAATCAGAATCCAACCAATTTCAACTTGGTGACCACTAAAAATTCACACAACCACGTGCAAAAGTCGAACATTTCATGTAAGGAAATGAGCCCATAACGCATATATTTAACATATTTGTCCTCATCTCTTCGATATTTTTAAAATTACCTTCATTCACCTTACATATTAAATTTCCGCATTGTACTACATGTCGTCATTCAATTTAGCAGCATAACCTGTAGTACAAACATTTTTTTTTCATAAAATTACATGCCTTTCTTCTTATGAACTACCTTACATTTTTATCTGCTGACTTGCTATTTAAATCTGTTTAAGCCATGCATCCACTTTGAATGGTCAAATTGCGACGAGAGCCACTCAACATCCCACGCATGCTGGTATGATCTGTAATTTGTACCCCTTTTCCATTCCGACATCATGCCTTCCTCGACCGTCCCAATGGCCATCCTTTTCTGCCTCCAACTCTAATTCTTTTCCTAAGCTCAGAGGCTGTAGCATTTGGAAGGAAAAATATGGAATGGATCTGGCTCTTTCTGTTATTTTTGTTAGTCAACACTGATTATGCTGCTAACTTAGGGGGATGGGGTAACAGTGGTCGATCCAAATAGGACCCCATTCGGCAGTTGCGCAATAAAACAACATTTGAACGCTCTTGCTCAATTGGAAAGCAATAAATCGTAGGTACCCCCTCAGGACATTCATTTTTTCAATGTTAGCAAATTTGCAATAGCCGCATATTTTACTTGTTTTAAAATTTCGTAAAATCACACCGTCCTTCTTAAACAGGACGTTCATTTATTAAAAATTACCTCTACTTACAATCCGGCAAAATCAGAATAAAAATGACTTGGCAAATTAAACTACAAATGTATTGTAATTACTATCATTCTAAATCATAATTTAATTTTTTTTAAATTTACAAGGCTTGGGCATGGTTGTGCAATGACGTCTTATCCACTACAGCAGCAGACCTGATTACGCACAAGCCCATGGCAGCTATTTTTCTATAAGAACGCCACTGTATATTTTGGATCAATGTAACGGAACGTTTTCTAAGTATAAGGAGATTCGTTTATCCTGATTTGCACCATATTGTTTGAATATGACTCATTATTTAGATATATAGTGTGCTTAATATTTAGCAAAACTGCACTTTAGTCGCAAATTTTTTATGATGTATTTTTTATTTATCAAAGCGAATGAATTTTGAAAAAAAATCTTGAAGTCTAACGAGAAAAGGCAGTCATTAATTTACAGAATTATTTTAATTTGATTATAGTCATAACATGCGTATGTTGCTTGTTTTTTTTGTATGCTAAATTGAGTAACACTAATTTCCGAGAAGAAATCCATTGGTGATTCAGGAAATCATTACATCCGCGTTATTTAAAGGTGTTTTCTCATGGAACATGGGTTCTGCACGCGAGTTTTCGTGAATGCTATTGGTTAATTGGCTAATTGCGAGCCAACCAGAATCAGAAGGAAAATAAATTCGGATACCTTCCTAGAATTATTCCCCCCAATTCAACAAAGGCGAAAGTAATCCACGCTAATATCTTAAATGATAAATATATGCATATTAAAAAGAATATTTTATATACAGCTGTAACAGCTGTCAAATTCGCTTTCTGAACCCACCAATAAGCAGCTCTGGATAGGGACCACGTAGCATTGGTTTTAGTGTTAACTTGGTCGCGTTGTGCTTTGCTATGGAAGCATTTAAGGGAACGTCTCAGTTAGCTATCGACGAATTTGGCCGACCATTTATTATTCTTCGGGACCAGGAGAAGAAAAAGCGTCTGACTGGTATACAGGCTCACAAGGTAATCAGTTGTTCATTGTGCCATAATTATTTAGTCTCATATTTTGGCTGCAAAGTCTGTTGCTAATACTCTTAGAACATCCCTTGGACCTAAAGGATTAGACAAGCTTCTTGTTAGCCCAGATGGGGACGTGACTGTCACGAATGATGGCCGAACAATTTTGGAAAAAATGGATGTACAGCACGAGATCGCAAAGTTGCTGGTTCAATTGAGTCAATCTCAAGATGATGAGATCGGTGATGGTACCACGGGTGTGGTCGTTCTTGCCGGGGCCCTTTTGGAGCAGGCAGAGTCGCTTCTAGATCGTGGCATTCATCCTGTTAGAATTGCTGACGGCTTTGAGCTCGCTGCAAAGATTTGTGTTGGTGTCCTGGACAAGATTAGTGAGGAATTCAAATTTTCAATTAATGATCGAGAGCCTCTTATCAAAACTGCTATGACCGCCCTTGGATCAAAAATGTTAGTTTTCTTCATCTGATTAATATGAGGTTCTAGTGTTAGCCGTTGCCAGAAGCACTTTGCGGAAATGGCTGTAGACGCGGTCTTGTCTGTTGCTGACATTAAGCGAAAGGATGTTGACTTTGAGTTGATCAAAGTGGAGGGCAAAGTCGGAGGCAGACTTGAGGATTCAATTCTTGTGAAGGGAGTCATTGTTGACAAGGACTTCTCCCACCCTCAAATGCCCAAACAGGTCAATGATGCTAAAATTGCTATCCTCACATGCCCGTTTGAACCGCCAAAGCCGAAAACAAAGCACAATCTTTTCGTCGAAAACGCTGAAGACTACCGAAAACTACGCCAATATGAGCAAGACAAATTTGTTGAAATGGTCGACATGTACGTACTTTCATTTGACTTTTTGTGTTAGCAGTACGTGTGTTATTTGGTCAAACTTACATACATGATTGTCAATAAATTAACCTTATTGCATCAGCTTGGTGGTGGGATTATCTTTCCTTTGCTCGCTATCGTTTCTTGGTTCTAAGCAGGCTTTTTTATTTTAGGGTTAAGAAAACCGGAGCTAACTTGGTAATCTGCCAATGGGGCTTTGATGACGAAGCTAACCATCTGCTTTTGAGCAAACAGCTTCCCGCCGTGAGGTGGGTAGGTGGTGCTGAAATAGAACTTATCGCCATTGCTACCGGTGGACGAATCGTTCCACGCTTCGAAGAGCTAACTGCTGAAAAACTCGGCCATGCCGGAGTCGTTCGGGAGCTGTCCTTCGGTACGACGAAGGATTGCATGCTCGTAATTGAGGACTGCGACAACTCCAAGGCCGTGACATGTTTAATCCGCGGGTCCTCCAAGATGATTGTCGACGAGGCAAAGCGCTCTCTACACGACGCTCTGTGCGTCGTGCGCAATCTTGTTCGTGACCCGCGCGTTGTCGCCGGTGGTGGCGCCTGCGAGCTGGCGTGTGCGATTAAAGTTGCGGCGGAAGCAGACAAGATCTCTACGATCGAACAGTACGCAATGCGCGCCTTTGCGGACGCCCTTGAGGCGATTCCGGTGGCGCTGTCTGAGAACGCCGGTCTGCCCTCAATCGAGACTGTTGCCTACGTGAAGGGACGCCAAGTTCAGGAAAATTGCCCCAACCTCGGAATCGACTGTCTTCAAGCTGGAACCTGCGACATGCGCGAACAAAACGTCTTCGAAACGCTCACTTCCAAGCGTGCTCAGATAATGCTTGCTGTCCAGTTGTGTAAAATGATTCTGAAAATTGACGATATTCGCACCTCCGTTGATGAGATGTAAATACCGCCAATCTCTTACCACCGACTCCCTTTTGCGTACCGTTCCAAGTTTAAACCCTGCTAAATGCATTTAACGGTTTTATCAGCCTTGGTTTTTCCGTGCGCACTGTGATGGTAGGCCCACATGATTCCATTTTTTTATAACCTCCAAGCCTGCTCCAGCAGCGCCTTTTATGTGTGCCGTTACGCACGCCTACGTGCAGCCTGATTGCAAACTGCGTAGTAGCTCTCAAGGATAAATAAATATACTAATTAAGTGACTAGGCCAAACCTCTCCGCCCAATATGGTCATAATCGGCAAAACAATCTGTCTTTTTTCTCTGGCAATCGTTTATGCGTTGGAAGTATTTACAACTTATGCAACGGGAGGTCTCCTTTGGTCACCGTTTTAATCGCCCTCTTGATGAACGGTGTCGGTGGGTTGGGACATGAGGAGGTGTGTCTGGTCCCCAATACGCCTTAAATAAAAAAAAGCGAGATTAGTGAGTACACCTCTGGCTGAGTGGGAGTTTTCTTTATTGGTAAGAACTACACCTGTTTGCATACCATGGCGTTTGTTCCTTAATCCAGCCAATGTTGTCTGCAATGAGATGCAGTGATTGGCACGAGGGGCAGCGTATAATCACGAGGCCCTTCGTGTAGGCCAATTTGGAGAAGAATTTCTGCGTTCGAGTCTTGCAAACCTACAAGTTAGTGAAAAGAAAGTCTTAGTTGTCGCTGAACTCGATCACCCAAGTGAGTGGTTTGAGCCAATAAGTGTGTTTTTAACCAGGAGTGAGCCAATCACAGGGCGCTGTTTTATCAACAATGCAAGCAAAGCGTCCACTTACATTGCATGTGAAGGTTATGCTCATATTTTTGTCCGATTTCATTGGGACAGGGCTGTCGGGGTTAGACAGAACCGACTCGTTATCAGCGGCTTCCGATTGGCCGATTGGATGGTCCCGCTCAGAAGGAATTGACTTCGAGGCAGGAGCCGCTGATTGGTTGATTGGCTTGGCGTCTGCGGACTCGTAGACAAGGTCACAGCCGGGTTCCACAGTCAATAGCGTGGGTCGTGGAGGTTTCGAATACAACCGATGAGCTATTCTCACGACCACATACGGTTGAAACGACCTCGGACGAGGGTAGCTAATAGCAACAGTGTTGCGCAGGGCAAACATCATCGGTCTAAGTAGCCTAGTAACGCTCATCTAAAACAAACCGACATTACTTTTGTTGAACAACGATAATTCCTCGAAAGCTTGGTGTTGGGAGGGGTGGAAGGGACTTCAATAAATCGACTAGCGCTACATAACCCAATGCTATCCCCTGTGGTTAGTTGTTGTTGTCACTCAGTGTCCCTAGGCATTCAAGGTTTTTTTTAAACAAAGTGTATTACTCCCAGGTGTTCAGGGAATACAAGTGCGAGAACACCAAGCACCGGTATCAACTACGAATTCGATCTTAACCTCAGGGAACGCCAAAAGAGTGCATTTCGACCGCCAACAATCGCCAGTCTAATTCAACACCCCCGCATGAAATTAATGCGTACAAGAATAAGCATCGTTAAAATTAACGCTTGCGTACAACAGGGCCACCTTGCAGTGTAGATGCGTCACACGCACTAGTTAGCAAGTTAGACAAGCGGCCTTGCGTACATTTAATGCATACGTAACATTAAGCAACACAACCCACGACCTCGGGGCCCACGTGACTGCTCGGAAAGGATATTTTTGTGTAGAGTGCCACTCATTATTTAACCAGAACACGTGAGCAAATGTAGGAAACTTCCACATTTTTGTGAAGATCGCCCAAATCATACAAACGACAAAAACCAAGCCGCAGACATGGGGCATTCGTTAATCTAGCCGAAATGCTCATGATTGCGGGAAGCACAAATTCCTCAGACGAGGCTGGAATAAGGGCACGCTAATTCACTGAAAATGCGGAAGGAGCACGTCTGTTTACTGAATTCCACCCTCCCTTGCCCGAAATCACATGCAAAACACACTGAGAAAAAGCCAAACACACAGTAATTCTGCGATAGCATAGTGCTGTATTTGCTCTGTTGCCGTCAGGTAAAACGATGCATGTGAAAAAAGAAAATACAAGACCTGCCAGAGTTGCCGGTAGAATTGAAATAAACGTCTACACGCACACACACACACATGCACACCAAAGACAGATGTTGTGACAAGTGCTTCTTGACGCTGACGCTGGCCGGCGCGACCTCTGCAATTTTACCTCCCAACTGACGCGGCAAACAAGTCTGTGTTGCACATCGGACAGATGGGACGCCGTCGCATCCACTGGGACAGACACTTGGTGTGGTAAATGTGGCCGCACTGCGTGAGCTTCGCGTCCCACGTGGTCATCGCACCGTAGCAAATTGGACAGTCGTCGGCGTACGCGACCAGCTGGTCGGCAGTGGGCGAGGGAATCGCAGCGAGCGATCCGCCGAGCAGGAATTGCGTCCGCAGCCACAGGAAGCCGCGGCACGTCGCCGGGTAGAGCACAAAGAAGACGTGCACGACGAGAATAAAGACTCGGCACACACCGAACGACTCGTAGAATATCAGCCAGAGGATGACGAAGACGGAGAGTAGGGAAATGAGGTAGTTGACGAAGATGTTGAAGAGTCGGGACGCCGCGAGCAGCGTGGTGAAGCCCGTCCACAGGGGCCACTTTCGATGAGCCTGGTGGATCACGTACTCAAAAATGGTGCACGAGACGTCCAGGAGGAGTTGTCCACCGCAGAGGTACGTCCGCAGACGTTGAGCGTAGCCGGTGTAGGCGGATATACCTCCAGCGGCGGTCTTTGCGCCAAGCAACTGGTACCCACGGCCAGTGTGAGGCAGGTAGGACAGCCAGATGGGGAAGTAGATGAACACACACCCCGACAGGCCCAGCATCAGGCCACAGAAAAGCAGTGGAATCAAGTGATCCAACCAGGACGACTCGCTGCCAGGCAAACCGAGGCGCAGCAGGATGGCTTTGACAAGCGACTCAACAGGGTACACACACGTGAACCCCATGATAATGAGTAAATGCGTGAAACAGAAAATCCTCTGATGCGAAGTGAGATTCGGTAGGTCGTATTGGATGGCAAGGAAGACGAAGAGCACGACACAACTCCAGCCGGTGTTGTTGAGCAACTCGATGGCCGTCACCTCAATGTGCTCGTTGGTGGTGAGTTGCTCGTCGATTGGGATCCAGGGATTGGCGGCTACCGGCTCGGCTTCTGCCGTCTCTATGAGCTGGGCGATATTGACTCCGAGGGGGTCCACAAAGAATGCCAGCACGTTAACAACAATGCCCGAGAGGAATCCAACGAAAACCGCAGCCCCGTACACCGAAGTCCACGTCTCGGCGCCTATAGCTAAGGCGCCCGTCAGGAAGCGCGAAAACATCTTGTAGGGCACGTTGGTGACAGCGAGATTGCTCTCATTGGCGTAAGCGCTCAGGAACGTAAAGTTTAGCGTGTGTTTGATGGGCATGCCTTTCTCGTCTGTAGCTCGTGAGAGGATTTCAACTGCGGTTGCGTCGATTGGCCACGAGGCCTGGCCAAGGATGATGACTAGGGTTAGCTTAATGAGCCAGAAGCAGAGAAACACACTTGGCACTTCAAGCCTACTCCAGTGGTCAGCCACGTAATCGAAAGTCTCGTTCAAAAACCGCCTGACTTGCTCCTCAAACGACGCCATAAGTTGACAGTGAAGGTGCTCGCAGATAAAGGCCAAGGCTATTAGGAACAGCAGCGCCACCAAAAATAACTCTGGTATGTAGCGAAAGTGGTCGCGACTGAGGTGATTAGAGAGCGAGAAGACGTAGAGACACTCGGAGTGATGCTGTAACACGGCCTGTGTCAAGTAATTACCACTCCGGCTCTTCATAACGTGGAAGTAACTGCAGACCATCGGTGTACTCTGAAGGGGACTTTTTTGAGCTAAAAGCCTATTGTAAATGCGGTCTGCTTTTACGCAAGTGTCGATATAAAGCATGACGGGGAGGAAAATGATCACGGAACCGAGAAATCCACGGAGAGCATAGTGAAGACGGCGATATCGGCCGTCTGGGTGGACAGGAACGGGCGGGGCGATGGCACCTGGCAACAACCTGAAGCAGATGAAGACGATCAACAAGCAGAGCATAGGAATGGGGAAACACTTGAGGCAAAGGAGGCGCAGATTCCATGGATGATAACTGTAGACCATTTCGTTCAGACGTCGGACGAATACGAATGTCGCGGCCACTGACAAGACAAACGGTAGACAAAGGAGTCCCAGAATTCGAAGCTGTTTAGGAGGCATCACAACCGCCACGGAGCATAACAGGAAGACTAAAAGGCAATGAATAAAAGTCTAGGAGTTTGGATTAGTCAAATATTTAGAAATCTTATTGTTGAATAATAGACGACAGCATTACTGTGTCAATATTGTGAAGACGGGAACGGTTAAGGTACTTCGACAAATGATGCGCGCAAAATCGAAAGCTAGTTTGCTAATTACTCAGTCAACTGATTTGATCTCACTTGACACACCGATGAGTAGTCGCAATTTAATGCTTTGAAAACAACAATAGCACAAGGAACGCAAATCATTTAAATAGAAATTAACAAGATGGAAATTCCAGACATTAAAAGAAAAACCTAGGCCGCTGTCATTCCATTACAAAACGAGTCAAAGAATGTCATTCGTTTCATAAGAAAATGAGAGTCAATTTGAGGTTGCGATGTAAACACGATTCCATTAAACTGACTGAAAAAAACAAGTAACAAGGCACCAAAACCAACACATTCGGATTGTTATGTAGACGTTACAAAACGAAAGAAGGTTAAAGACCAAATAACATATTAAACATTGTTGAATCGTAGGCACTACACACGCCAAAAGTCATTGCTAAATCTTATTCAACACATCTCAAGATCCGAAATTAAATTCTTCGACACAATTTTTTAAACAATCTTTGAAATCCCAAAAAGGACACTAGACAGGCAGCAAAAGTAGAGTGAATATAAATATAAACAGTATACGTAAGACCCGTAGAAAGTGGATTATTGCAAAAAGTGGCAACGAATAAATATGAAAACAGAATAACTCACCGATGGCGAGAAAAAAGTTAGTCAACTCATCCGAAATACCGTTAGAGTAAAGAGTGTCGCCATACTGGAGCCATGACGTAAAATGATTTTTGAGAGTAAATATCCAGGAAATTCTTTTCGCCAACACTGCATCGATAAATAATATTAACAGTGACCTAAATAGAGTATCCGTAACTTCCAGAAGCCTCATCAAAACCACAAACACAACGGCTCCGGTTCGAAAACAGCACCACCCCTTATAATCACTAAAACTAACCGTCATCGCTAATATTGTGGAAGTTTTTTTTCATTTAAAAGCCACAAAATTTGTGTTTCTTGATACTGAATTCTAGGCTATAGTCGATTGTCAAAAATGCATTTAAAGGGTAAAAACCTCATATGGAAATCAGAGTTAAATTTGGAAAATAATTCTGCGGATAAAAGCAAATTACAAAATGCTCTTATTCAAAAAAATTTACACTAGGTGCATATTTCCTTGATTGTTTTGAATTGTTTTATCACGGTTTTGCCTAGAGTAAATTTCTAATTGCAAAGAAATAAATAATCGGAGCTTTTTGGTTCATGTTAGGTTTATTATACATACAAAAAATGTGTAAGGGATTGTTAAACAAAAATTAAAAATAGTTTTTTTGGGTTTATGTTAAAATCTGTTGTTGCAATCATATCTGAAAGTAGAAGATTGTAATAATATAAATTTTATTTATTTAACACGTCCAAAAACTTTGCCCAACTGATTGCCATTCTTTTATTTTTGGAGCTTTTAGAAGTTGTTTTCGCTCACATATTTTAGACAAATGCTTTGCCGAGGATGTAAACGGTATCTGTAACAATTCATGAAGTATTTTACGCATAGAACACTACAACACAAAGTGAATTAAAGCGGTTGCTCTTGGTATACAGATAAATGAGTTACTCTTTTCAAACGGCCTAAGAAATAAAGTGAAATTTGAGCCACCCCTTGTGAGCCTTCTAACCGAGTCATGGCGTTTGGTTACAAGATTGGCTAAAACAATTAAAGCGTTTGGCAATTCGAAAGTAACGGGAATTTATTGCATCTTTTTGTGAAAAGTATTTAAATAATATTGTGTAAAGTTAAACCCAAGACCAGCACCGTTGCACCGGAGAATTTCACAACTTATCTGGAACACAAATATCGTAAAAGCGTAATGAATTTGCCCTTCGAGATTTTAAATTAAGGACATAATGTTAGGTCTTCGTTTAACACCAATTAACTTACTTGAGATCTTGTTGCGACAAGGTTAACCGTATAAATTTGTATTCATTGATTCAAATTATACATTTCTGATTTTAAATATATACATGATTTTTAAACACAACTGCCATTAATGACGTATTTTGGGAAATCTTTTATTTTTTGAAAATTGATGCAGCAACATTTCAAAGGTTTTCTTAAAGCTTTAAGCTTGTCCTCTTTTCTTGCCTATAGACGGTGTTCAACGTGAAAGTGCTTGCCAACATATTTTGACATAGTATGTAGAAGGCTTTTAACTTTTAAAAGTAATCAATTAATGGTACCTAAAAATTTGACGCAGAAATGATAAACCATTAGCATCACTAAGTGGGTTTGATTGACGGCGGGTTAATCAAATTTTCTGGTGCGTTAGCTTTTACACTTTGCCACTTTTGGATTACGCATACCATGAATGCCACTGGTCCTGATCCAAGACTTCGACAGCTAACAATAAAAACGAATGTAGTTAAGAGGTAACAGTCCTTGAAACCTAATGTCTAGAATATCCAAGGAGAAATTGAAATATGAGGAGGAATTAACTGATTTGCAGAGGTCGCTGGAGGAAAAGAAGGCTTCCGGTGTCGACGAGTATACTATTAAGAAAGTGGTATGTTTTTTATACTTTCTTAAGTATTTCTGTCGTCAGTGTGAGCTCATTGATGAAACCAAGATGGTGGTTTCAGACTGCTCAAGGCGGTTAACAGAGGCCCTCTCTGACCTTGAGGGCACTTTGGCGAGCTGTGAGGATCTGTCAGAACACGAAAACTACCAAGCTGCCAAAAGTGTCGCATTGGAACAGGGCTCTGGGGATGCCTAACTGGTTATACACTAGCTCGCATTTACAAAATTCCACTTTTTTAATTTAAAGTCACGAATTAAAGACAAAATCTTTTGACAATTCTTTTCTACCGTGTCGCAAACGTCAACGGGAAGGGTAATTTTGGTGGCCGACGAAATTTCGCAAATATTGGTACAGCCCGACGAGTTGCCACTGATGCGCATCGTTATTACAATGAAGTCGCTTGGAATCTAAGCCACACAATTCCCTTACCTGGCAATGATTATGAGTGATAAGTGATAAACAACGTCGTGGTCTTGTAGAAAAATGAGCGCAGGATTAGGTTAAGCCTGTGCCGACACGCGCAGTTTAGGGCGCAGTCAGTAGAAAATATTTTTATTCGCTTTTTTGTAAATGGTCATGAAGGGAATGTCAGTCACGTATTCGAGCATTCCTTCTCTTCGCTCCACTTTTTCCGTTCGTAGTGATGTTGGAACTCAAAGATAACTTCAACAAGAATCAGAACGATTATCATCCACTCTAGACGTGACGAATGCCGCGCCTCCAGGTGGTTTGTAAGAATTTCTGTCAGTTCACAGCAAGTATTTAGTTTGGAATTGAGTATCTGCAAAAGGAGGGTATTGGAAACGTTACTACCGTGCCTATTGTCAGGTTGCTTCTTGGTTTTCGTACTAGAACTTACATTAGTCCGACTTTGAACACTGAGAGCGCTCTTTAAGTTTTGAAATAACTTCTCAACTTCTGGTCGATCCCAGTAGAAATCTGGGGTCTCGCTTATCGTGGTGCTTATGTTCAGTAAATGCCTGTTAACGTGAGAGAAGAAGGGCGTGTTAAACATGTCGCGAAGGTAGTTGAAGGCTTTGGTGTGCGGAACCACAGGCGTCGCATTTGTGGTTTCGCACACGGACAGTTACTTACCGCAAAGTGAAAAGCTCGCCTGTTTTGCGGAAAACTGCAGACACCGGGAAGAAAACACCCAAGCCAGTCTGCATTTTCTACAAGGCACAATAAAAACGAACAACTGACTGAGCCAATTGGGATTTTCTCTATGGCACTGACACTAACCCACTTACTTCAATCCACGGTTGCATTTGGACGGCTACAGCGTCAAAACTCGTTTCCAACAGGGAGAGTTTCACTAAAAACGACAACAACGTGTATGCCATCTTAGCATTCGCATATGAACAAGGCTTCCGATACGCCAACGCACTTGTCGGAGACAACCAGCTCTCTGAAACTAGCTTTATGCTAATTCCGGAGCACGTTTTTGTACTTCGCGGCCCCAAGATGGCCCCAAAACCGAATCGGTATTGTGAACTCCAAGTAATTGGTTGTCTTAGCTTCGGTTTACTAAGAATGGCGAAATGGATTCGGAACGAACGAGTGGAACAGATGCGCGTAGCTCTGAGTTCACCGACAGCATCCATACTGTTTGGACGAACATGTGCGTGGCTTATCGTGCTAATTTACACCTGTTGGCCCTTGGTTACACACACACACACACATAAAATTCTCTTGAGCCAAAAAGTAAAACGTATCTCCGTTGTCCCTACCCAACCGCGTATGCTGAGACAGGCCTGCAAGCGTTGTCTTGGCGCTTTGAGGGAATATCGGCCACCCTCCAAGTTTGTACCAATACACAAGAGCAGATATTGAACTGGCGGAAAGAACTACGATCATTCAAGCATAACCTGGAACAGCTCTCGCATAAAAATCCAGTCAGCACGTTTCACCGCTGGCCCAACAGTGGTTCTACAACCGAGCACGAATTCCAACCCGGAGTCAAGAACGCGCTGAACACAGATGATAATCCACGCACAGAGGCGCCCACAATAAGTACCATTTACCTGAAGATGCAAGCGCGTCAGAAAACGCCACCTTCTCCAGGGCCTGGTTATGCACCAATTTTTCATAGCCGCCAGGGGATTCTGCCGTGGTGGCGTCTTGCCTCGACGGTATCGCGTGCAGACGAATATCTTCGACGTCGAGGTACGTGGGTTCGCTGGACGATACAAACAAAACACAAACTTGCAAGCGGGTGATCCATGCAACATTTGTGTGACTCAGCACGCGTCAAAGGTCCAGCATATTTATCCCACCTCATCTTCAAATCGTCACAAGAAGTTATAAATCGTGATTCCCGTTTTTAATTTTCTGGGTTAGAACCAAAGTGGTGCGGCAATCACAGGTACCAGTGTCAATGGAGATTCAGATTTACACTCTTCCAATGAGTGAACAGTCGCAAAATGCACTCTCACACACAGAGAGAAAACGCAAAGAAGAAAACGTACCTTGTAAATGAGTAGAATAATTCTTCGAATTCCACTAAATTGGGCGCGATAGGACTGTTGCATTGCTGGCGAACTTTCCCGACCAATTCCTCACACTAGTGCAAATTTAGAACAAACAGTTTGATGTTGCATCCAAACCTCTCAGAGTGCTTGTATCCGGAATAAGAGGAAAAAAATTAGACAAAAATTTGTTTGTTTACAGTGGATGCCGATCAAACGACACTGCGGAAATAAACCTTGGTTGTGTCTAACAGGGCACGCGACACGAATATGCACTTGAAAACGCACCTCGGAATTCGACACGTTCCAGAAAACGATAACTCCTGTTCTGCAAGCAAAAGACACCAGTTAAGAGGGTAGACTGATGGTTCGGAATGCCGAAATTTCGATTTTCGGTAATCGACGAACAATGGGAAAGACTTGCTTGAAGACGAGGATGTCACGATGGATGCGTGGATCATCAGCGTCACCGGGTGTGGTGAGAAAAAGGATCTCGTTAGCTACCTCCGGTGGAAGCCGGAGTGCGGTATAGCCCATGGTCTGGTAGTCAACTGTGAGGGAGACCTGGGCGATGTTGATCGACTGACCAATCCCGTAAGCGCAGACTCGAAAGACGCTGCCATTGGTTGGTGTCCTGTCACCAGCTGGGTACTAGTAATCACAAAAAGGTTGTTGGTTTTTGTAAGGCAAACCAGGGATTGGGGAAACTCTTAAGTCTGAACAAAGTATGGTGGATTTAGTAGGCAGGAATTTCGCTAAATAAGTTTGAGATGGCTATTTCTTAAAGCCAACTATGTAAACACGGAGAATCATATTGAGATTCTGATCAGAAGAAGTAAATTTAGCAGATTATTGGCTAGTACATCTCCTGACACAAAAACTATGGGAAAAGCGTACCGAAGGGGCGAGTCTTGTAGGTTTTGGCTTGGAAAATTTGCCAGTTGTAAGGGGGATGGCGAATTCGTGTGCGGGTTCACGCAGAGGACGAAGCGACGGCAAGCGAGCTGTTGGAGGTTGATCTGGAGAGCTGGAAAAACGCATAGCACACCTCAGTGGCAGTCGTCGAAGGAATAGATAGGGCCAACGGGAAGCCTTAAGTCAAAACGCAGTTCTTTTTAAATCAAGAAAATTAACAAACAAATCATTTCATGGATGAGGTGTTTAGCGACAAAACCGTAATTGACACGAAGTGTGAGGACTAGAATCAACGTCAGAGTATGTAAAAGATCAAACACGACCGAGGGCTGAACTCCTTTGCATGGGGGTGAGTTTAAAATGCGTCAGCATTTGCCGCATTAAGAAATCGAAACCCCGAACGTCTCGACCACGTCCCCGTTGCGGAATTAGCATAAAATCGATCAAAGGAGTAACTCAGAGAAAAGAGCCAAGGAGTCCTAGCGCCACAGCCACGACAAACCGCACATAGAAATAAAACACAAATCACGAGGGTATATTATGCAAAAAGTATGTTAAGTGCTAACTTGTAGAACTTGATTGTCACGGGAATAAAAGGTGAAAAATCAATAGAAAAGGGTACATCGGAATCAGAATTTGGAATTTGTGATAGTGGGGTCGTTTTCAAGTTCATCAAAGGTGAAGTACTTGTGGCTAATACCAGTCGACGAGACTCTAACAAGACGCAATCCCGGTTTGTCACTCCCCAATTGCACCCCAACAGCTGAAGAGGAGACAACTTCGAGGGGAGCACCTGATGCGTCAGCCGTTGGACACCAAGGACCTCCACCGTTGTAGTGAAGGTGACCAGAGAAGACCAACCGCACTCCCGCTTGGTAGTACTTACTGAGCAGGTCCATGCGCGTTTCTTTTGAGAGATTGAAATAGCCACCATCTTCATCGGCCGACTTAATGAAAGGTGGGATGTGCTGGAAATAGCAAAAAAAACATATACACGAGATTTGTGCAGACATTCCTTAACAAAACATTCTACGAATGTTAAAGGGGCTCACTTGGAACACCACGAGTTGCTTTGCACCAGCGTTCTCCTCCGCGGAGAGTTCAGCATTTAACCAGGCGTTTTGTGCCGCGGCTGCCGACTGGCAATTCTTGCAATCCCAGTAAAGTTGGGAGTTGATCACGAGGTATTTGACATCGCCGCACCAAAACGTGTAGTAATCGTCTCCCCAGTGGGACTTATAGTCCTCAATATCAGCCATACACGGGCTGTTCCCAATGTCATGATTTCCAGGAAGAACGAAGACAGGTAGGCCAGAGGAGAGATTGTGCAAGGACGACTTTAGATCAGTTATCTGGTGCCTGCGGTCACAATTTCCAGGCTCCGCATCAACCAAGTCACCACAAATAAAAACAAATTTCGGCCTTGGTGAAATTTTGTTGATGGCTGATACCGCACGATCCACAAGGGCGAGCTCACGATCCCAATGGAATGGTGGATCACGTTTCTCGATGTATCGCTCGAGTAGACCGAGTTGAGGATCGGCAAGCTGCACAAAAGTGTAGTCAGAGCATTGGTCATCCAAGTTATAAGGAAGACAATGTCCCTCTACGCAAACAAGACCTTCCTTCATTTCGAGCCTACAGCGTATTGTGGTCACAAAGGCTATGCACTCATTTCTTTGGACAAACAAATAAAGTAGGACTGAAAATAAACCAATTAACATTCAGGGCATTTGGAAGGCTGATGTCTTATGTAGCGGTTTTATACATCTAGTAATTGTTCTTCAATATTTAATAGGATATCGACAACCATTACTGGTTTTCAAGTTTTGTGGCAATGCAAATTAACTATGTTCATTTGGCTTAATAAGTTAGGATTTACTGTTAACCAAATGTTTGTAAAAAAATCTGACCTAAAATTTTTGTTAGATGCTAAAATCCTTTGCTCGGGGTTAAAGACAATAACAACGAAATATATCCTAACTCTTTAAACCCTTAATCGCTTTAACTCAATCATTTCCTTTGAAGACAAGTGTGCTTACAGGATCTATTAAACCCTTAAAATTTTAATTCAAAGTGAACGACTAAGATTAATAATCAAATTATGACATGTAATTCATTAGTCGTAGAAGTTAAGAAATGAGAAATCGCAGAATTGTGATTCGTGTCTGGTTGGTTAATTTTGCTGTCCACTGATTGGCCAGCTAAGTACTGTGGTCTTTCGCATGCATGATTTTTGCTTCTGATTTTGCGTATAAAGTGTTGGTATTTGGGGTCGATGATTTTTTTCTAAAACATTTCTGATGTTTGTTTTTTTGTAAGGTTAGTAGATAACTCGTTTTAACTTAATCAAAAGTCCTTACCAACTGCTTTTTCTTAGCTTAACTGTTTTTGCTCCTGAATTTGTAATAGGTTTAGTAATTTAGTGTGCCCCAATAAGCACCATACTTGATAAATAAAAAACACGTATCCGAAAGTTATATTCCAGTGATTTCTGTCTTGATGAATTGAGCAGACTGGCTCATCTAAGCTGTCTGGTCGTGTACTTTTGTAAATGCCCCGAATTATCTGGTTCAATTATAAATGCGTGTAGTAACTGTTTCGTAATGTTTATCTGGTACAATGTCTGCCAAGACATCTTATCGTATTAGACTGTTCGTTTGCAAATATGGATTTCAGAGCTTACTTTTTTTCTTTAGTTGATGTTTTTGTTTCTTTGTACCCCTACCACATTTAGCGACAAAATGCACGTTGTATTGATGGTGGCCGAAAAGCCTTCGCTAGCCGAGGCGCTGGCCAAAATCATGTCCCGCGGTAGCCACACGTCGCGTCGCGGCAGCAACGGTGCTTGCAGTGTTCACGAATGGAATGGTCAATTTCGTGGTACACCGGTTCGTTTCAAGATGACCTCTGTCTGCGGTCACGTGATGACACTGGATTTCATCAGCCGTTTCAATAACTGGGATGCTGTCGATCCGGTTAGTTTTTTTCTGGACTTACTTATCAATGGCCACTTTGCGTAGGTCGAATTGTTCACGGCTAAAATTGAGAAGAAGGAGGCTAACCCCAAGCTGGATATGGTGCATTTTCTGCAAAAAGAGGCAAGAGGTGTATCCTCGCTAATCCTCTGGTTGGATTGTGATAAGGAGGGCGAGAACATCTGCTTTGAAGTCATCGACGCCGTTGCACTATCCATGGGACCCCAGGTTAGTTTCCTCTCCTTTTATGCTTGTGTTCTGAATTGCCGTTACCCACTTTCACACTAACATGCATGTCTGCATTCAGGCCAAAATCTACCGCGCTCACTTCACAGCCGTTACAGACCACGAGGTGCAGACAGCAATGCAGAATCTCCGCCAACCGAACAAAAATGAGGCCCTATCCGTCGATGCGCGACAGGAAACCGACCTGCGCATCGGCTGTGCATTCACGCGTTTTCAGACCAAGTTCTTCCAGGTATGAGAAAGCAATTTTCGCGCGCGTGTTTCGGAACCCCGAGGTGTCTTTTGATTGCATTATCTCCTTCACAGGGCAAATACGGTGACCTCAATAGTCGTCTAGTGTCGTTTGGTCCCTGCCAAACTCCCACTCTTGGCTTCTGTGTCAAACGCCACGACCGAATACAATCCTTCAAGCCAGAGGATTTTTGGCGAATCTCAGCCACGGTTAGCCAATCACCGCATTTCTTGATAGCCCCTCTTTGTGTTCGTCACCTTCTCAGTAACCATGTCACACCATTTCCCTGTGTTAATGTGTCGTTTGCATTTTGGAGTTGTCATGGTGTTCGTTTCTCGGATTCGCTAATAATACTACCTGTGCAATGTTATTTAATGGATGCCAAATCTGTGAGGGTGGTAAATTTTCGATAAGTAGATTAAATCTAGATGGAGATTAACATCTATCAGTCCTGATAGGTTCACCTCAAGGCATTGAAAGTCGGTTAGGTCCACTACTGGAAATCTCATCGACATGTCTTTCGGTCGTTGAAGGTCAAGGACAGTTATCCAATGGGATCTCATTGCTTTACAGATCACTAGGTGATGCTGTGAGTTCCTTACCTAAAATGTGGGCATTTATGGAATGTTGCGTATTCTGCAGGTTCTTGCCGGTGACCAGGGCCAACGACTTCCATTGACGTGGAATCGAGATCGTTTATTCGACAAGGAGGCAGCCACGGTATTCCTCAACGCCGTTTCTGGTGCTGACAAAGCTGTGTACGTCACCTGTTCTAAAAATCACCCATCCTGCCGCTGTGTTTAACCTATTGACACTAGTCGTTACTTTAACGAAATCTGCGACTCCGAAACTGCAGATAGCTAATACCTGGCTTTTGTGGCGCAGAGTGGTTGACGTGAGTCGCAAAGCGAAGGTGAAACAGCGACCGCAGGGCTTGAACACGGTGGAGTTGCTACGGGTAGCCAGTTCCTCTCTGGGCATCGGACCACACGCGACGATGGCCATTGCCGAACGCCTCTACACCTCCGGCTTCATAAACTACCCCCGAACTGAATCCACCGCCTACCCGCCCTCGTTTGACCTCAAGGACCTCTTGCGTCAGCACGTAAACTGTTTTGGTCAAATTGAGCATCGCATGAGCGGCTGTTCGCGCAAATCTTGTGGTGTTGATTTGTTGTTGTTGTTTTTGTGGTTTAGGCAAATCATCCGAAGTGGGGCGACGTGGTGAGCGGCCTGTTGAAGAGTGGCTACACGCAGCCACGGGCCGGTCACAACGCCGGTGACCACCCCCCAATCGCGCCAATGCGCTCGACCAATGAACTATCGGGCGATGCGGGGCGCATCTACGACTACGTCGCACAGCACTTTATCGCGACTGTGAGTTGTCTTCTTCACGGTGTGTCATTCGCTGCTCCCACCGACAAGCAACGTTTCGATGTAGTCGGTTGTTCCCCTTCCTTCAGCTCATGCCCGACTGCAAGTACGAGACGACGACGGTGGTTTTTGCAATAGGCGACGAGAAATTCACCGCCTCGTGTTCACGTGTCCTCGACCCGGGCTTTACGCGCATATTCACGTGGCAGGCGGTGGAGGAAGACCCCCTACCCGACAGTATTTTGCACCCCGGCGCGACCCTTCCTCTTGCGGAGAAGCCCAGTCTCGTTCAAGGTCAGACTGGACCCCCAAACTACCTCACCGAAGCGGAACTCATCACCGCCATGGAGAAACACGGCATCGGCACCGACGCCTCAATCCCCGTCCACATTGAAAACATCGTCGAACGCGCCTACGTGGAGGTAAGCGGACCCACCTCTTTGAACAGTTACTGCTCGCGTCGAGTTAAACGGCTTTTATCGACCGAAAGGTGAAAAGTTTTGATTAAATCTGCACTCCTACCGCTTAGATAATGCCGGGACGTCGGCTGAAACCCACCCCCCTAGGCATTGTTCTGGTTCACGGCTACCACTCGATAGACCCCGAGTTAGTTCTGCCACACATGCGTCGTGCCGTCGAGGAGGAGTTGAATCACATCGCATCGGGACAGGCCAACTTCCACGACGTCCTCCAATTCGTCCTGGCCATCTTCGCCACCAAGTACCGCTTCTTCGTCGAACACATCAGCTCCATGGACCAGCTGTTCGAGGTGTCCTTCTCGAACCTGGCCGACTGTGGTAAACCCCTCACTCGGTAACACCTCCCAGCTACCTGATGAGACGCCATTTTGGCTTCGAAACATGCGATTTTGTTGTTTTTGTTGTAGTTGTGGCAAGTGTCGTCGCTACCTCAAACTCATTGACTCCAAACCCCAGCGCCTGCATTGTCCAGCGTGCACCGACACCTACTCAATCCCGCAAAACGGGTCAGTGCGACCCTACAAAGAGACCAAGTGTCCGTTGGACGACTTTGAATTGGTTCTGTGGACCCAGGGGGTGAAGGGCAAGGTCAGTGGTCCCCACCTTTAAGCTCTCTCTCTCCCTGTCCCGCTTTTCTTTTATCGTAACTTTTGTTCCACCCTAGAGCATGATATTCTGCCCGTACTGCTACACAAACCCCCCGTTTCCGGGCCAATGGCGAAACGTGGGCTGCGCCAACTGCCTCCACCCCAGCTGTCAGTACTCGCTGGCGGTGAACGGGGTCGATGCGTGCACAGAGTGCGCCAAGGGCACGCTTGTCTTGGACGACGCGCATGCCCCGAAATACCGACTCTGCTGCAATCGGTACGCCAGCAATGCGGTCTTGTTTGGGTGCGCGCGTGCGCTCTCCGCCTCAAGCTGTTCTTGCCTTCTTCTAGGTGCGACGCTATAGTGACGTTCTCGGACACCGTGAAAAGCGCCTCCATAAGGAAGGCGACCTGTGAACAGTGTACAGCCCGGCATCTCACCCTACAAATCGATACGGTAATCTGTCCGGTTATTGGGTTGCCAGCATAACCCTATTCCATGGGGCAACGCGTTTACACGTATTGCGTTCTTCAAAGCCTAATAATCAAGAAATGGGTCAAGTCGATTCTATAGCCATCACAGATGAAAAACGCTATCCCTCTAAGTTGATCTAGTCTTGTTACACTTGATTTAAACAATTCCTAACAGGTCACTCCCATCCAGATCTTGAGTCGTTGAAGTTCCCCCCGCGATTGTTTCACTAGTCTTCCTCCTTTTCTGATCCAGCTTCACTGTCGTTTGTTTGAAGGATGACAGGATCGTTTGAAAGGTCTTAGGTTGTCACCAAGAAAAGAAATGCCGGGAATCGTCGACAACCAGTCACCCTTGAAGACACCCTCAATAATCCCCCTCTCTTTCTTCCGCATTCCAGACCAAGGTGAAGGCAGAAGTTCCATCCAAGTTCACTGGTTGCGTGTTCTGTTCGGAGGAGACGTGCAGGCTGCTGTCGGCTCGCAAAGCCACCACCGCCGCCCCCCAAGCCGCACGCGGTCGTGGTTCGCGTGGTGGCCGAGGTGGCGATCGCAGAGGTGGTGGACGGAGACGCCGATGACGGCATTGGACCTCGTTTAGTCATTTCCGCAATTAAATCACGTGAATGCGCAATTCTCGCTACCCCTTTTGACTGGTCGCTCTCGAGGTCAGATATAGGTGGAAGGGGGGAGGGCGTTACCTTGTACCTGGGGGATGTTTGTGTAATTGCTGCGTTTATGTTGCAATCAAAGCTATCGACGTTTTGCTGTACACCTTAAGTAGACTGGCGAGTCTGCCATGTGGTGCGGTCACGCCATTTCGTTGGTTGGTTTAGTTGTGGCCGATTTTCAGAAATATTAGCAAAGGCGGCGAGCAATTCGTGATTACCATCCTCGCAATTGGTCACTTCTTGGAATAAACTCTGACATCGGCTTACAGATTGTGGTTCTGTGTAAGAATCTACAGATTTTGACCGTAGACGGAGGGTTGGGTTGATTTAACGAATCACGCAAAAAGCAGCGATTAACGGCGATTACCAAAATCTAGCCTTTATGTGTGGAAATATCGTCGGTGTGGCTTCGAGAGAAGATTAACGACCCCTACGCTTCAGAATGTGTCAGGCCCTTGTAAAGTCCTTTTTTTTAAAAAACGGGGAAATCTAAACAATGTAACATCTATTGCCATAATCGAACACATTTCGTGGCTAGGACCAAGCGCTTTGTCAAAAGTAGTATCACATGTAGATGGGAATCGTTTAACTCCTCCACCAATTATTCTTTTCGGTCCAACATGAACACGCTTTACAGACACTACTAAACAATGCATAAATCTGACGTGGTGACTAAAGTGGGAACTAGCGCAGAGGGGACACGAGTGATGGTCATTTCCGTAAACCCGAATGGACACCCGTCGTAGCCCCCAGCATGAGCACACACAAACCCCGCCTTCACGTAGCCTGGCGAAGCAGCGAAGACAAACGCCTCGTCTGAGCCGAGTTCAGCGTTGGTGTTTGGAATGAGCACGGGCCAGAATTTGCGGTCGGTTGTTGTCTCGTTGGAGACGTCGCGCCGCGACCTGTGGCACGCCGTGTCGACGTGCTTGAAGACCTTTGAGGAGCCCCTGGGAACGAGGCTATTGGTTCGTGGTTTCCACAGACACGACCTGGATTGGGGCTTGCAGTTTGCATCCTGCAAGATGCCATCGATCCAGAAGAAGTTGTTGAAATTCATGTAATGGAAGGCCAATGCCTGGTCGATGATTGCTCGGATTGGTGGAAGGCCAATGTCCCCCAGCCAGGCAAGCTTGCCACGAGGGTAGTAAGCGGAGCAGAGCTCTCGGGCTTTTGAATGGGAAACACCGACTGAGGCAAAAATGGCGTAGGTGAACTGTCCGCTTTGACCCTCATATTCCGGGCCACTGGGATTAACGGCTTCCTTTGCATTGTGGCAAACAGCCAACAGAAGCACGAACAGTGTGCGTAATCGGGCCACGCCCATCTCGCAAATAAATGCCCATATTCAAACCAGGAAATCAATAATAATTTGTATTAGTCGATTCAGCTAATCAAGTTTGGGTACTGGTATTCTACCGCTAAGCTCAACACTGGCCTCATATTTACGGTGACCAAGCAAAAGACTTCACCAAATGCCTCTTTATTCCTCAAGACATAGCATAGCACTGTTTTTTACTTAGTAAGGCTCAAGTTCATGAAATTACCTTCAAAGAGAAACCACATCGAGAGGACGATTGTGCCGGCAAAAACGTACGCGCATATCTGGCGTGTTTTCGCGACACATACGGCGAAAGCTGATTTCTTTTTTGAATTTCGTGACGCGTCGGCGTCAGGTGAAGTTGTCTGCACGCCTTGGGGCGTTTTCTTGGGGGATTGACAAGACGACTGTGATGGCCGTCGTCTTGGCGACGTTGAATGTCCACTACAGGGGTTTGACAGCTGGGTCTTGGACCTCGTCTGGTACTGGCGCATTTTGATGAATCAGGGTCCAATTTTACTGTCAAGATTTGCTATCATACGAGCACAACAGTCATATGGGGAAAATCGATTTCCACAGAAACAGACAAGTTAGTTCGATAGTTTAAGTTTTCAAGTTTGGATATTAAAAGGGAAAATATTACATCAGTGACAAAATAAGTGTTTTGTATTAGTTTACCATTAATAAAAACAATATTTTTTGGTTGCAAAGTGTGGGTATTCAGACAGTGGCCGAATAACAAAAAAAGTTTATTTACGTACCCAAATAGAATAACGTGATAAATGTGTTCACCAAAATGATTTGTTATTCATTTCTGCAGATTGAGAATCTGACGGGAACGGTGTTACCACATTGCTCTAAACGATGGCTTTTAGCAATTTTTATGCGATTTCAAAACTGAAACAACTCGTTTTTCGTTTTCAAGGCAATAATCGGGTGATCTACATGAATTTTACGAAAATTAAGAGCTTCCTTGAAAATAGCCTGCCTACATGAAATATTTTATTTTTCGTCATGGTTAGCATACGCTAGATACACGAAAATTCCTTTTAATATGTTGATTTAGGATTTTTTGCGACGATCTATAACTCTAATGGTGTGAAACCAAAAATGTTGTTTAATGTGAACTGACTAAATTTACTAACCAGGAAGGTGTACATGGGCAGTCGAGAACACAGTTGTGTCCTCATTCATCATAGTATTTAGTATAACCATAAAATTTATCGTGATATGCGCGTTTTCCGTTGCAACTAGCTGACATAAATTGTGAAATATTTTTTTTAATAAAAAATCATTTCTGCGACAAACTAGTTATAAATCGCAAATAAATTCGAGTCAAAATGTGACCTGAATTTTAAATTAAAAAACCACATATTAAAATATTTTAGCATGTACGTCTGTATGACGTAAAAATAATACAAATTTGCATATATAAATTCGGGATAAATTAATTTGGCGAATATTCTATGGCACGCTTGTAAATCGATGTGACACTTTATGGGGCATCTATACTGGGTGTAATGAGAAACAATAAAGAAGCTAAACTTAATATTTTATTAAAATATTGAAAAGAATCGCCCTCTACATGAGGTTTTAACTTTTTGGGACCTCCAACGAGTACAGAGTGTTAACAATTTTGGTTAAATTAGAGGGGATCAAATGTCAAGTATCCAATGAGAATGAATTGTGCAGTTATTGATAGAATGTAAAAGTATATTTGGCAGAAGAATCATACAAGATTGTAATGGCAAGGGTAAGAGAATTTGATTTACATGATTTGATGCTTGAGTTTCGCTGAAAACTAAAGAATAGCCTAATCGTGCTTAAATACTGACCGAATGTCTATGACGGAATAAGGCATTTTTTGAATAAAAACAAGTAAAAGGCTTTTTAAAAAACTCCACATTTAAAGCCCACTTTCTGCCCTTATAATCAACACATTTTGCCATCGGATGACAGTTTTTTCGAAAATAAGCGAAAGAAAAATTATACTTTTAAATTGATACCAGACTTCTTAAGAACCATCCCAAGTTATATATCAAACGTATATTTTCTAAAATGGATAATTGGGATTTAAAGGTAATTTGATTATTTAAAAAATCCTCATCTTTGAAAATTTACAATAGGTACCAATATAAGGAATACGAAGTAAATGTTTTCTAAATGCTTGGTTGATTGCATTCGATTGAATTGATTTAAAATCAAGTAATTTAAGAAGACAATATTTAATGTCATTTGCTGCTTGTAGCAATTGTAATGGTACGCAATTCGGTACGCCCAAAATTGTTTTGATTTTTTAATGCAGTTACATTTCCACAAGGCCATGCCAAACTTGTGATTAATTGGTTAGGATCAACGCGGGGATATTAAAATCATATTTTTGCAAATTGAATGACCGGAAGTGCTTTAAAATTATATAATCGATTATAAATGTAAGACAAGCTATGTTTCTTAAACATTTTGTATTTGTGTAGTACATGTCAATTAATGTACTTGGATTAGACAGATAATTTCATGCTCATAGAAACTGTTTCTGGTTTTCTCTTTTCTGCTTTTTTCCTTTTTTCCTGTCTTGTTTATATTCCTTGCTTTTAAAGACCTCTAATACTTTTATTTACTAGCTGAGCTGTAAAGTCGTGCAATTATTTTTATCGTTCCTTTTATTTGATTGTTGAAATCTGTTAAATTTATTATTTAAAGAACGTTATGTAGTGGCTAACCAACTTTTTTGTAAGCTAAAAGTGTTAGTTTTTTTTCAATGTAACTTACTGAGAGGCGTTATTGATTTACAATAGTGCCCAATGTAGGTAATTTGGGTCTAATTTTGTTCATATTTTTTTGTTCACATCACCAACAGCACACATTTATTTTTTTTTAAGTATACGAAAAACATTACAACAGTCTGGCTTTTTGATTTTGTTGGTTTCTTTGCTCTCTTGATTAACAACATGGTACCTAATGTTTTGACATGTTTACTTTCGGCGATTCAATTTTCCAACATGCTTTTTTCTGAGGGATATCACTTCTGTTGTTTAAATATAAATTTGTCATTTGCTGTTGTTTTACCAAACAATGGTCAATTAGCAAGCTTCAATATAATTCAATCCGTAGTAAAAAAAGCATTTCAAACGCATTTTTGTGTGTTCTTTCGACAACGTAGGCATTTACTGCGTAATTCGACCGACAAAATACTTTAGATACATCATACCATAAAGTTTTCTAAATAGCAAATTTCGCCTATGTACTAGTTAGCAAATGTGTTTGTCATAAAGCATGCTACCTAGAATACCCCAAAATGTTAGTACCAATCGTTTTTTCTTGCCTGTCTATACATTTATTTTTGAGTTGCTCATGGAATTTATATGTAATTTTAGACCGTATCCTAAGAATACAAACGCTCACTCATACAAGATGTTATGGTAACTCTCGGAGTAATTTTAATGCCAACTTATAGCTTACTGCTGATTATGCTGCTGAGTTTATCTTCCCATACTGAATCAAGAACGCAGCTCAGTAAGTGCCATCATTGTTGCTGTGAACATAACTCTCTCCAGTTGATGCTGTCGAGTGCTTTCAGAGCCCACAAAATCCAATCCGTTTTGAAAGCGTCGTCCTCATAGGCAAATCCAGTCGAGGAAGTTCGCGGTGCTACCTTGACCCCATTCACACCAACTACTACCTGAGCGTGAAAATCAATAAATTGGAACTAGATGGCGTCTGCCCTGTCTTCGGCATCTCTGAGTACTCCACCCTCCTCACCAACAACATCCCCGAGTCAGAAAATTTCCCGTCTATTAATGTGCAGCAGCCTAGTGACGTTAATTTTTTGGTACGTGAACTTTAACACCTCTGGCGAGCTTACTCATTACGCAATCAGTAATATGTGCATGGCATAATTCGTAGTTTTTCGCAATGAATGCTTCTATGTATTCAGTTAAACCACTTGTCTATTCCGTTTTGATGTCTCCAACTCTTTTGATTACGTTATATGCTGGTTCGTATCGCTGTCCAATTAATAATTCATCTAAAACATCAGACAAGTTTGGAATGACAGCGCACTCAGATCGTGTCGCACAGAACTTCGCTCACGAGGTGAGAGTAATAAAACAGCAGTTTGCAATCAATAAATCAAACCACAAAATCGCCTCATTCAGTCTAGACTCTCACATGTTGATGGTGCTGTTGTCTGTGGTAACGGTTATTGAACTGTGGGCGTGGTTGGCGCGTGCATATCACACCTGGCTGCTAATTATGACAATTTCGGTAGTTAGACAGGTTTTTCTGACTGCTGTACTGTCTCATAGTGTGTTAGGAAAGATTTTCATCAAGATTTGGACTAAAGGCTAGAAAAGTACTAAATAATAGAGTACACGACCAGAAAAAACCCTTGTAAAGGATGCAGTGATATTCCTAGTATATTTTGTCTCCTCAGAGCTCATCTTTCGCCGCTCTTTTGAGAATGTTTCGAGACCTTGGGTTAACCTTCAGTGGATGATTTTCATTGGTTAATTTCTGCAAGTTTCTGTAGCGCGATTGGTCGAAAATGTGCTTTTTATCTAGTCAAATGTGGCAGTAGTTGCATTGATTTACGATGTATCGAAAATTATTTCACTAAATATCGGGCTACGTATCTTTTTATTTGCCAACGTGCAACAGCATTCAAGGAAATAAACATGCGATTTGCTAGGAAAATTAAACCAATGACAAAAAAATCAACTTATTTCGTTTATCTATTCCACGGAATCTTATAATAGGCGACTTCTGCGTTTTAAGCCGCATGATTTGCTCCCAAAGCACCTGAATTCTTCAGTTAGTTTTGTGTGAAAATACGACTTCATCACTCTCGTGATGAATATCCGCCAGCATGTATGATTCATCATGCTTTATGACCGTCCCAAATTTTCCACTGCCTCAATTTTTGAAAATGTTAATGACTTTTAACTGATTATCCTGCAATAAATTTCACACAAAGAGGTTACTTGTCGCTTCGTGGAAGAGATTTAGACTGTAAACTAATCAGCTGCTGTGTTTGTGGAGTACCACTTCTTCATCCAAATCTCGACCAATCGGAAATGCTTATTTTCACGCATGTAGCCTTAATTGTAATTACTTTAACCTAGGTCAAGGCCAACTGCAACAACAGCGCCGACTACGTCAACAAGGTGGTGCAAACATCGATGCCCGGTCGCAAATTAATGATCGAATTCGATCCTGCGGATTTTGACAAGGCCAGCTCCTTTGAGATCACGGTAACACCGTTCTGTAAGTTGTGTGTCATTAACCTGTCACCTGGTACACTAATTAACTCATCACCCAGACTTGTCATTTTTTTGAAATTGCACATAACCTCTATCAGTTAATTAAAACAAAACCCCAACATGCATTTTGAGGCCAACCTCGGCCAGTGGATTTACCAGTTTGGTGGCTGTTGCCACATTGAACCAGAAAAATCGTAACTCGATTGGTCGGACGTTGCCATGGTGGCCAGGTCGCTGGTGTTGACTGCCTTCGGAACGATGACGTCATTGTATCCTCTGCGTAGGCGACTTTGTGGGCCCCAGCATGTGGTCTTGAACCACGCCGGGGCCACGGAATTAACCCTGGCCCGATTACACTTCCCTAATGGCCGCGATGAAGAAAACGATAGGAGAGGATGTGGACACAACCGTTTACTTCCGAGCTCAACCACGTTGGTGTCGTCGTGTCGTGTGTGGGGTTTACGCGTGCGTATTTATACCTTGGGTGTGTGAGTCATATATGCGCTAAAATCGAGACCTAGGTGTGAGGATGATCCAAGATAAATATCTGTGTGAATGTGGGAGGAGTTGAGGATCCGCGGGGCTGGCGACATGCTGCGAAAAGGGGAAGCCTGTGTCGGAGGTGGAGCGGCCGGATTAAGGGATGTGAATAAACACGATTCACAACACACAAAAACCCCGCGACAACTTGACATGAGTATCACTGATTGGCTAAAACAACACCAACGTAATGGCGCTGCTAGCTAATTTGCAAATCAACCACAGAAACCTTGCACCGGGCGGTAGCAGCAATACAAGTCCCCTGACTACCGAAAAAAAAAACAAATTTATGCTGCCTCGGTGGCAAGTAGACAAGCCAACGCGCGCCGCTTGTTTTTAAAGCGAGGTGGCAGTTGTCGAGGCAGGTTTGGTGGCCGAGCGCACTTGAAATTGCACTACTTCGCTGGTGATGACAAATTCGCTCCGTGGTGTGAAAATATTCGGGTGTTTTAAAAGGTGTGTGTGTATGTTTTAACGCGTCTAAATAAATCAGTGCGGCGTGAACACTACTGGTTCAAAATTCTCTAAAAACATCACAGGCACTCTGCGGAAAAGATCGATTTTTTCACTTCAAAAGATGGCGGACGATTTGAATTTAAGCAAATACTAGCTTGCAATTTGAAAATTTTAGGAAATTGTGTTGTGAGGACATTGCGCTGCCAATTTATTTGCAGGCCTTCATGTTTTTTTTCAAAACACCGAATGGAAAACCCATCCTAAAAGACAGTTGTGTTTACTAAAATTTGATTGGCCGATTTGCATTGTCGCGTCAAGGTCAATTAACTGAAAACTTCATAAACAATACAGTTGAAACGCTCGCTCACTCTGATGTTGTAAAGCACACATTTATCGGGTCATTTTAGCTTAAATGATTTGTTGAAAGGAAAATATTTAAACCAATCGCTGGTGTTTGGATGTTTGTTTGAAATCTACCTTTAATTTCTTTAGGTAAAAATTTCTGTGTTGTAGGGACTTTGGTATGCTTGAACGGTATAAATGTAATCTACTTCGAGTACAGACACGACCACAGGTTAATTATTGCTTAAATGAATTTAAGTAGTACTGTTGTGACACTGCTAAAAAGTTCCCTTTTCGTTGTCTTACGAGCACCTAAATGTGACCCATCTGACATGACCTTTCTGCTGTCAAATTTTGCAGTATTGACACTGATTTGGTCATTTTTTCCATTATTATAGTCAGTTATTTTTACCGTGAGCAACAACATTGTGGTAAACTCGAGGTTTACGTTCTACTGTTAAACAAATAGTAGTTAGATAATTTTGAGTTGTTTTGTGCAAACATTTCGGAACACGGGAAAATTTTGGCGGTTCTACAGTTCTAGGAACCTCTTACAGCTGTCCGGCAGATCATTTTCGGTGTTTTAACTCGCGCGATCGGTGCATCCCGGACAGCATCACATGTGATGGCGTGGACAACTGCTTCGACAACTCTGATGAGACCAATTACCTCTGTGAGTCACGACTTGGTCGATTTTCATTGGCTAAGCTTTGTTTGTTGTTTCCTATTGGCTACTTAAGTCAGTGGTGCCCGCATTGGTTGGCTACACAAATACTCTTTCTGTAAATTCGTGTAAATCATTGTTTTTAATTTTAAACTACTGCACAGGTTTTAAAAATATGACATTTGATCTTCCTAACACGAAAACGCTTAGGTGAAGTTTGAAGGACAGCGTTATTCACGACTACAAGTGTATCTTTGGCTAGCTGTCGGGGTTTGTTTTCGTAGTATGGTCATGTCAACACGACTGTCGGGCTAAAAAAATTGTGATTTTATCGCACTATCACACTATTGGAGGACCCGCTCTCACATTTGTGCCGCTGCATTTTAATTGGTCGAGGACTTAAACCAATTAAACTGCAAGTATAATTTCATATTTATTGCTAATGGCTTTCTATTTTTATAGGCACTGGTAGAATCGGCAACCTACCACTTCCACTTTTTATCATCTTCCTGATTGGTGAGTTTAAAATTAATCATAAACACCTTTTGTATTTCAATGACCAATCAGAACGCGATCAAATTCATTTGGTGATCTAAGTAAAATTCTGCTGCGTATTTAAGTGTTTCGATGTGAGAATTGGTCTCACATAGGATATACCCTAAAACTAACCAATCAAAACGATCGGGCACCAATTGAACCAGCCAATAGGAACGTAGTTAGAGCAAACACATTGTGCTCAAACACTTTGCTCCCAATAATCAACGGAAATTGACAAGTGGACTTACCAATTGTGTAGTTTTCTAGGGTAAAAGTACAAGTCAAGTCTATTTTTGAGGCATGAATCCGACCAATGAGGAGTGTCGATTATATTGACCAATGAGCGTAATGCCTTTCGGTTTCACCTTTCCTTATTTACATGTAGTCGGAATCATCTTTTTACTGGCGCTTATAACCGGTGTTGTGATATACTTCCGCAGAAGACACCTCCGAAAACAACGCGAGAAGCCAGAGTAAGTTTTCGCTCGGTTTTTGAATCAATCGGCGGACAAAATGTGTCGAGAATGTACCGCCCCTGTAAAAAAAAGTCATGTTTCTGTGTGTTGGGAGTTTTGGAAACGCCGTTTATTTAATTCGTCTGACATCGTCGATTTGCCAGCACAATTTATCCTAAGGAACTGGCGTGGTACAGTTTTGACACTGGATTGTGGCAGCAGTAACCAATCGGATTAAAGTTGCGCTCTTCATCTTTGTCGACGGTTAACGCCGACTTCATCTTTGCAGGTGTATCGACATGAATATTATGCGGGATCGATCAGCTGTGCAAGAGCGTAAGTCGTTTCTCTATTGGTTAATTTCAATTTACAATAATTCCCAGTTAATCAATAATTTATTCTGGTATTTCTCCCACATTTGATCACTAAATCGATAATCAAATCGTCACTTGATTCGTCATGCCTGTTGCCCACCTTGAGGTATTGACAGACCACTTACAACAGGAGGCGAAGGTCGTGCATTGATTGGTCAATTTGTCCAGCGACGGTTTCGGTTGTATTTGAGAAAATCAATCAGTCTTTTTTTCAGCATTGATGCCTCCACCACCAAAACAGTGAGTCTACGCACTCTTCCGGCAGTATTGCGACTGAACACCGAAATTTCGTGGAAGCTGTAGACGTCCAATCAGCACACCGCACAAAATACTCCTTTTGTGGCACACGCACACACAACCCATATCTGTCAACTATTTCGCCACTCTGTCCAAATTTCATTATGTGTAATGCCATGAGGTGCTTTATGTAATATCGAACAACTGACTTTTTTTACACCAAACAAAAAGGCGCCTTTTCTGAACACGCATCCCCATCCTAGATTCACCAATAGCAGATGACGTCGGTAACTGATCTTAACAGTGATTGGTGAATCGATCTCCAAGAAGTCATTCTAAATCGTTCGCCAATACGGTGAGCTTCCACAAGAACCTGAAAATCGAACGATTTTGTATTTTAAGATCAAAGAAGTAGGGTGGTAAGCAGTCGCCGGGGGGGGGGG